ACCCCGTTACAGACGCCATATCAGGTCCAATTACTGGTGTTATCCCATATCCTGGTATCGTTTTGAGCAACCTGTTGAAGTTGTAGAAGTCCATACCCAACTTACTGCCAGTGATGTTATATGTCCCATTGAAATGGTCAGGTTCTGCAACAATTTGAAAATGTTAACTATAAATTGTATAGTTATATACTTATCCTATCTCACGTCTTGTACCTCCTCTCTCTTCAATTCAACCTGCTGAGTGGAAAGGAACTGCAAATAAAACATCCTTGGCATCACTTGCCCCTACGCCCGAGCGCTGCCCCCTTATAAGGACGCCTGGGCAACCTCACGGGAAGCATGCAGCACACACCACTACCTACTCACGTGACCGTCTTACCATAATCATCCTCGTTCTTGGAGCAAAGTAAACAATCTGAGTAGTGGGGAGGCCTGGCGGGCATCCATCGCGTCAGATAGGATAAGTATATAAATATTAGGGCTGTGCAATATTATCGTAATATGGTTCAGATTCTGCAATATATTGGGTCATCCAGAGTTAGCTCCCATTGAATTATCTTCCCTTGATTTCCATTCCAACAATATGTGCTCTAAAAGTGGAAAAATGTACTTTTATTTCTGTTGGTTTCATGTAACATTTTACAAGTGGAAGCTCCAAGAGTACCAAATGTTCTACCAAATTCTTGGTTTTGTGGGTTTTAATGGTTTTATTTGTGCTATTTTGGAGGAATTAAGTAGCCTCAAATGGACAATTTTTATATTTGGACTTATTCAGGCTGAATTTGTCTCTCGTCTGAAATTGTCTCTCATGCGGAAATCGAGTTTTCTATAAATTTATAATTCAAAGGGAATCTATGTATTTACTGTTCAAAAACGTTAATAAACTGATATATTTTCAATTCAAAACAATTTTACACGTAAGAGAGCACACTTGTACCAGTTCAGTGCACAATTTCGAATTGCAGAATCGGAAAATCCATTCCATTTTAGTATCACCCATCAGCGTTTCAACACCCTCCAATAATTTCACGTCCTTCTCACTAAATTTCTAAATTTCTAAATTTACACAGGTGCCTCCAAAGTTGTCTTTTTAAAGGCTCTTCTTGTAAGTAGTGCCTGAGGGACCATTTCACAACTCACATTGTTTTGTTATTTTTGTTCGTTTCATAATGGGATATATGTTATGAATTTATTATAAAGACCTAAGTCTTATAAATTCTGCAGGACTGTATAATGACATTGTACTCAAGGATCTTAGTTAATTAGTAAGAAGACATCGTGTCGCACACAGAGAGCTATTATGAATTTATGATGTCAGCACTTCGGTAGAAACCTTCCAGTCTGTATATATTACAATATGTATTGCAATATCTCTTAAATTATTGCAATATATCACAATATGAGAAACAGGGCAATATCCAGAACTAATAATTATACAATATAGTTAAAATTTCCGAGTTTTTAAACTTATCCTATCTGTACTTATCACACGGTCGAACGGGAGATTACCCAGATCAGGACAGTGCGAACAGCTGACGCTGTACAGCCTGCAGTCAACCATAGATAGCATTACACAAGGGAGGCCTGTTACGAAACTCCAAACTCCTAAGCTTGTGACTGGCTTTCCAGAACTCCATGGTCTACTAAGCACAACGACTCCCATGGAGATGGGTACTCTCGAGGAAAGTGGTGTTCAACCGCAACCTTCGTACGAAACGAAAGGACGCACCTTTTGGTGTGTAAAACTCGCCAAGGCACGAGTTACAGAAGGCGTCAGTAAACTAAAGTCTTTCGACCTTAATCTGGCCCCCACTTGCTTCGTGATTGTCCCTGCAGACACCATCACAACTCGGAAAGGTTACTATTTTTACATTCAGTTCCAAACGACATCAAACGATTTTCACTTTCCATCAAAACTTGTTAAAAGATGTGTCCAGAAACTTATGAGCATAACGCAACGAATCCAAAAGGAATACAGGGAGGACCCACTTTACTGACGTAATTGCTCCGTAGAGTAGAGGTCAGTAAGCGGGAGTGGTGATCACTTCTGTCTCAGGATACAAGATTTTGCCTTGAAGTCAATGATGAAGCTACACTGTGGCTATACCCCAGTGTGTAACTAGGTGAGGTAGATCGAAACCAATAATAAACTAGAACAAAAGGCAAACATAAAATACAGACTTTAATTCAGTAATTACAAGGAAGCAATGAACCGTGCGCAGTACACGTCCCTTTATCGGCGTTGGCGGGCTGATGATAGCTGCTGCATGGGCACAAAGGGTCCGAACTGACGTAGTCCTTGGACATCAGTCACGGAGACGTCTCGCATGTATTGTGAAGAGAAGACCGTATCGGATCGCCAAAAACACCCTTCCATAATGGATGTCAAGGAACAGTTACTATGTAGAACCATCGTCGAAGCTTGGGCTCGAGTTTCATGTTGACTAGAGGTGGTTGGGGGCGGTAACCCGGCAAAGGTGTAAGCCCATAGGATGGTAGAGCGCATAAAAAAAGATAGTGTAGTCCGGGAGACTTCGGCTCTGGAGGCGGTTCCGTAACCTCTGACGCTTTTGAGAGGATTCAAGAAAGATCCGCAGTGGCCTAACAGGGCACAATGACAAATGTCCAGAATCATCAGGCCCACGAAAGGTGGACAACGGGGGAATTATAAAAGCTCGATTTGGTTGCCCTGCCAACTGGTTCGTCACTACGAAGTCCCAACAGAGACCCAGGAAAAGCTGGCTATGCTTCTTCCGCTCAGACTTCACACGTTTGACATTCAGCGCATGGAGCTCAGATGAACGAGCTGCAGTAGCCAAAGCTACTAGGAAGAAGGTTTTAAACGTCACTTGCTGAAATTACTTCTCCTGAAGTGATTTGTAGTCACTAGATACAAGACGTCGAAGGACAACAGAAAGATCCCAAGTCGGCAAACAGAACTTCCTAGACTGGGGTCGAATCCTCTTCCAGTTGTTAGAGAGATTGAGTTGATGTGCGATATGCCGTTTAGATTTAGCGTCTGTGGGGATCTGTGGTATAGGTCCGAGTGAGGATGAAGTAGAAGGTTATCTCGGTTGGGTAGAGGTACTGGGTTTGGCTCTGTAAGGCATAGTAGATCCACGAAATAACTTCTAAGCTCATTATATGTACAGTTCACAAAAGTTCCAAACATTTTAGCACGTCAGCACGTTCGTATTACCTGAATAAAATGTTGAAAGTGACTGTCAAAAGACAGTTCTCGCATATGATGTAGACTGTTAGGCAAGCGATAAGACAAGCTAACTAGTTTACATTTACACCTGGGTACCCGGGGGTCTGCTTACCTGCTACAAGGAGCACTGCGACTTTAAGAACATGCATATTGGATGTTTCTGATGAATGCAAACCTCAGAAAATGTAAAGTAACTCTGTGCACGCTCTCTTTTATAAAGCTGTAACAGCATGTTCTGTGCATACATGGGGATGCGGCGCACCTTTAAAAATCAGAATAATTAAGCAGATGATTAATTGTCACATCAACTGCACTTTTTGCTATTTGACTTTTTTCTGAAGCCTTTAAACTTTTGCATTCATCTCCCGCCATGATCTCGGCATGGGCTGTTACAGATATGCTCCAGTTTTTAGGTGTTGTCTACTTAGTTGAAATTACTTTGTGTATTTTGTGCTTATTAAGTGAGTAATTCTTATGGAATACGTGTGACAGAGACAATTAAAATCTTTCTTGTACCAGCAAAGGTAACAGAGTATAGTGGAGATCAGTCTAAAATATTTGATAAATGGGTTGAACTTTGTTTTAAACGAAAACATTTAATCGACAGCAAATCACCACATGCACCGATCGCGGGATAATAATAGGCTTTCTTAGAGCTCTGCGGTGTGCTTGGTGGGTAGCTAAAACCACTGTGACATCACCACAAGCGTTACAAGCAGGTTTATGCAATAATATCATTATGATATAATTTTTCTACTATTTCCGCGATCGCTGGGTATATAAGTTCGAAACAACTGGCAGCTATCAGTTTTTTTCCTTTCACTAACCACAGAAGGACATTACAAGACAATATGCAGTTCTCTAACTTCGCCGCACTTCTTGGCCTTGGTTAGTATCTTCATACCGTTATCATGCAATAACGCTTTTAATGGTCTCATCTGTCCGAATTAAAAGGAGGGCAATTCAATGTTCCATGCAGTTGTATAAACTGAACGTGAATGTGTGTGATTTGAGAATGTTGTAACACCAAAATCAGCCATGTCGAGAGCTTTACAGTGTTATACATATCTCATAAGAAAGTGTTTTACTTCTGTTTCCAAGAAAGTTCCTTCTCTGTTTTTAATATATAAAGTATAATCGTGCGTAAAAAGGTGTGTGTTTTTTGCTTTTTATCCAGCTCTGGCAGCCGTTTTGGGTTTGGCTAGTGGTCACGGTCATGGTGGTCACGGACACGGTGGTCATGGACATGGTGGTCACGGTCATGGAGGACATGGTCACGGAGGTCATGGCCACCACGGATAAAGCTGCCAAGACGTGTAAGGGGATTGATATCCGAAGTACATGATCACATGACAATCTGGATGCTGGGAATCCACTGTGTAGTTAATAACCTATTGTATTGATTGTGATCAAGAGAAAAAAGTACCAGCAGCAGGGACGAACAGAAGAATGGATAGACAGAAAACTGAAACAGTTTCGGGAAATCTTGTGAATTGGCTCAAGCTTGATTCATATTTGAAAACACCTCATAAACTCAAACGCTCGAACGACAAGAAACGCCCAGTTTCCTACTACGTTAAAGGAGTCGCGAAAATGGGAATTAAACCGCTCACTCACTCAACTTCATTATCCAGGCTGTTGCCTATAAAAGTGTTGTCACTTGAATGAACCACTGCTTCAATACTAAATTCCCCCCTGCTGTTGGTCAGCTCCCTCGATGGCCGAAATAATGCTGATGTGGCTATAAATTTGTACTCAATCTTTACTATCTTCAATGAACGTCCCTATATATATGGTAAAATATTTATTGTAAGACCAGTTACATTTCCACAGCTAGCCAATTATGGGCACGTGAGTGTGTGATTTACATGCTGCAGCATTAGCGTGGGGTATTACAATGAACCCGAATGACTTTCCAGGGACAGTCACTGATCCAGTTGTGACAGTCTTCGGTGATAGATGAGGCAGTTGGCCGTTGACTAACGTTAGTAGCTTTCCATTGAGACTCACTTTCCTGAAATAAAACTCCACGTAATAACTATGAGATATTTAGATATTGTTCCGAACAGAAATCTTTATGACAGCAATGTATACATCGAGGGAAGTATCCACCTTTTTTCGGATTTCTGAATCAATCTGTCCTCCTGGAAGTCCCGAAACATTCAAAGGAAATTTATATTTACCAGATTTTTAAATGCAGCATTTTTGTCATTTTAAGTTTGGCTAAACTTGACCAAAATCGCCAGCTGCTGAATGGTTGATATAAATCCAGCTAGGGTCCATGCAGGTAGCCAAAGTACTGTAAGCCCCCGTGGTCCCTAGTATGGTGATCAGCCTTCAAGTGCTTGTGATATATTGACCGTTTTTATATTGTATTGTTGTCTATAGTGATATCTTTTTAATGATAGCGTACTAGCTTTAAATTAAGAGCTGTGATACTCTACTAGGTTTACTGTCTTTCGATGACAGAATGTTTTATGTTCTACATTTATTGATCTTAATGTTGATATAAATTAAATTGTTCTCGTCACGATATGGCTGAAATATTGTCCATGTGACGTTAAACTCACTCACACACACTGAATCAATCTATGTATATTGTTGCAACCTTTATCATATCCCATTGTAAGATCCCCATTATATGATGAGGATCTGTTTATGAATCATAATGGAACGGTGATCATGCTAGGTATATTCAAGAAGGTGGCGCTCGTCATAAACGCATGACAAAACACTGGAACCCATCGCACATGTTAAATTGAGAATTGTATCGGACATCTTTGTCCCTCCTGCAACAAATTAGGAAAGGTCCTCCACATGTCTAATACACAACTTGTGAAAGCTTTAACGACGACTGAATTATGACGCTCGCTGGAAGTTTCGAAGAAAGAGCATGCTTGATTGGACATTAGTTACGATAACCACCCGTAACATCAATCTAACTCTCATTGTGGAAATTCCCTGCAGTTAGTCTACCTTTTGGTTTGGACCTGAAAGTGTCTGTAGGTTGGCAGGAGGAATTATTTGCTCGTGTGGCTATTGAAGGGTGTGAACCAGAAGGCGTTCAGGTTGAGGGGAGGTAGACTTACTTGCTAGTGAGTCCATCGACTGGCGTCAGCCAGAACACGTCTACGTGTTGGCCGGGAAATTGTGGAAAGTTAATGGAGGCAGTGGTATCCGTGGGCAGCAGGAAGTACATCGTCACACTGCCGGGTACGTAGCCATAGGAACTAAAACACAACACTAAATATTAGAGGACCGCTTCCCTTGGCTAAACATGAATCTGAACCTATTATGGTTTACTCCTATATTCCGTATTCATTATGTTTCATTCTTAATGGTGCACGGAAGAAGACGTATGTTAACACATGCTTTACAAATGAAGGAAAATGTAAGCAAACGATTGGCAAAATGATTGTGCGTCCATTTCGTTCCTCAGCCGGATCATATAAGAACACATGCAAATATGGTACTTTTTGTTACGCCGCCTGGTGTTCGGTATTATGGGGGTAAGACAAGTATGTTTGCCTTCGAGTCTGAGGTGTATATGATATACACGATATATTGCGACTTGGTATCTCAGTGGGCAAGAAGGGTATCATAGGTCCACATCGTCCACAGAATACTACATCTGACATTGTTTTAAACGTAGAAGATTTGCCATTTTAATTTTTGTTCAAGTTGCTAACTATGGCGAATGAATTGAATGGATGGTGTACATCCAGCTGGGATCCATGTAGGTAGCAAAAGTGCTGTAAGTACCAGCAGCCAGCACAAACACGTCCGTCCATCTATTCATCCATCCGTGAAGATCCGGGTTAGAACTGATCTTCAGTAACCCGTGCTTTTCGTACTTGACGCGACTAACGGGATCTGGTGGTCAGACTTGGTTGACACCTGTCACCGTTTCACAAATGGTTGGATCGATGTTCATGCTGTTGATGACTGGATTGTCTGGTTCAGACTCTTTTAGCTGCAGACCGCCGTCATATAGCTGGAATAATGGTAAGTGCGGCCTAAAACTAAACTCACTCACTTATTCATCCATCCCTATTTGTAAAATCAATAAATGTGATTCCGATCCACAGTTCTTGGTATCTAACCTCACCCTGCCTCCATCGCATTCAACGGAGATATTTGTTATGAATCTACGTGTAAAAAGGCTAATGCATTTTCATATCTGGCTGATTTTAGGGGTTGAATTTACGTTGATCGCTTTGTGCAGTGGGCGTAGGCTCTGATGGTGCTGTTGCCCACGTTCGTGTTTACTGAAAGCACGGCGCCTTCCACCAGTCTCTTGTAGAGGACAGTTAACCAGTAGTCCTGCAGTTGAAGACATGAATAAAACACTATCATTACATTACATTAATATAGATAGAAATATAGGAATGATTTAATTCACTACTAGCATTATATAGTTTGCTATGTTAAATGTTTACTTAATTTATTGCCTACAGTTTTTTATCCTGTGATATGAATTTGCCTAACTATTTATTATTGTAACATCTATTAAATATTTCAATTCCGTCAGTGTCGTTAGTTTTATTCTGTTACGCGCCATCATGTGCAATCTTCTTTGCCAATGATGAGAAATAAATATCTTTGATCGTTATCGCGCAAACTGCTGTGTCCAAATGTGGTGTAAGGGAATCTAAATCTCTGTTAAGATAGACGTCCACATGACCAAGAATATATAACATCAATGAAGTGTGTGAGTGATTATATGTTTTAACGCCTCATCAGAAATCTTGTACCACTTGGAGCCAAGCATCACATTTAATCAAATTCATTGCATGATGGGTGATTGTTTCATTCCTTGATATACATGCATACCATTAATTGCACTTTAAGTTGTTTCACCACCTGTTTTAATAGCCTGAGTCATGACTGAAATACATCACCAAAGTAAACGCATACGTAAAATATCAAATGTAATTGGTTTCAGATTAGTCAGTCTTGAATTTTCAGTGAAACACACCCCACTGGTCTTAAAATCAAAACTGTGGTACATTCTATCCTTCCCAATTCCTACTTTACACACCCCAGCCACATTCCCTGAAAAAGGTTTCATTTTGTGGGCTGGTCTGTTTGTAAAAATTAAACACTATATTTGAAAACTGGATATTTGATCCACACATGAACAACTGGTCGCTTGCATACTTACAGGCAATGGATCAAAGGTACGATGGTCAATCAGTCCATAGGTTCCGGCGTAGAAATCCTGTCTGAGAACTCCTTTCAACCCCATCCGGGCAGCAATACCAAGCTTGTCCAGCCACCTGAACAGTGTACACTTTCAAAAGGCGGTGTCGATGTTGCATTTGAATGTAAGTCCCTGTTACTTTACTTAACTAACGTTCTTACAACTGAAGACAGATCTTATCTTGGGCTACTTATTCTGTATATGTCACTTATGAAGAATTATCATAGACTACCATCGATCATCATTATGCGAATAGGGGGCGGTTGGATCGCCTAATGGTTAAAGCGTTCGCTCGTCACGCAGAAGACCCGGGTTTGATTCCCCCATGGGTACAATGTATGAAGCCCATTTCTGGTGTCCCCCGCCATCATATTGCTGGAATATTGCTAAAAGCGGCGTTATACAGAACTCACTCACTCTTGAACACATTATGCGAGTATAGTTGATTCAGGTACAAAGTGTATAGTGGTTATATTCAGCTCATGTTTTACGCACAGAAACCCAGCGACGTATCTGTCGGACATCCCCGAAGCACCGCCATGATGACAGGAGGACGTCTCTCCCAGCCAGAGTGGGGTATGTGGGTTTGTGTGTTTTGACACATCTATCCCTGCATGTATGTAACTGACCAGTGTGTCCATCAACTTGGTACTGGTGAAATCAGAGAGGTGTGCAGTATGGCCATTGGTGTAGTAACTGTAAGAAATAAGGGTGGGTTTGACAGTGTTTAGCATCTTCCTTGCCAAGTTGGAAACATTGCGAACCAGTGTTTTGACTTTTTGGTAACTGCAGTCACGCGTGCCATGGTGAACTTTCACGACTGATAATAACTAGCAATATTTCAGAAAGTCAGTTTCATATCATTTATATGTCATTTTCATGTGACAAATGTGGACTCCAGTAATGTGTCAGTAAGTCAAGGACATATTATATGTAACTGTATGTAAGTAGGAAAGAAATCAGATTAGAATATTAAACCATACTGAAAACGTATTTGAGCAATATCAAACAATGTATGAATATCAAATATAACTGCACGTACTGGTGAAAGGTTATTCTGTCCACGGCCTTGTCTCCTCCTGCTCTGAGGAAACTGAGGAAAGAAGAATGACCTGGGAAGTCTGCGTGATTAACTATAAAATGTTAGGTGTTCATGTGTCGATTGTCGAGCATTATCGTCATAAATTATCGTCACGTATTGTAGTGGCCAGTATATATATCCCGTTCTAAACATTGTAAACTGTGGTCAAGTTTCCCACACAGGCCAAGGCTGGATGTCCTACGTGAACATAAACAGTTCTCCGGTAGTCCTGATATTACAGAAACTGTCATATCTTGCTGTATTAGACCGTAGGTGTTTAAGGAGATTACAGATTGCACTTGATTCCAAAATTATTAATATATTGTAACTTCCACACAACTGACCACATGACAGGGTAATACCTTCCTTACAACTAATTACTGTTACAACATGTGAACATCCTGAGTCCTAACAGAAACAATGTAAAAATGCCCACGATACATTGCTCTGCAGTGTAACAACGACAGGGTCCTGCCCTGTTATTATGCCTGGGTATTAGCTTAGCGACCATGTGCACGCCATACGTATTTCTGAATTGTGTCATCGACTGAGCAGGATACTAGGTGTCATCACGAGGTAATGGGGATTCATGAACATGGGTAGGACATGTTTACCTGTTCGCGCACTACTGATGACATCACACGGTGATGAACATCCACATGTGACTCATTTGTTTGATAGTCAAGACTTGGTAGTGTTGGACAACTATCACTTTTATGTGTCACCAAATTTTATCAATGCCGAGGACCCGTGAAGGTTCAGGTTAGAATTGATCTTCAGTAACCCATGCTTGTCGTAAGAGGCGATTAACGGGATCAGGTGGTCAGGCTCGATTATTTACAGACTGTCACCAAATAGCTGGAATATTGCTGAGTGCGGCGTAAAAAAAAGCTGACCTCTTCTGTGTTGTAACACAAATGAAATTATGCAAACTTTTCCCTCCTTGTAAGCCCCGGAATCATTGAATTTCTGCACAGTAGTCATAGTAATAAATTAACAGGAATTTCTAAGTCATTCTTCAATCAAAGTGTGCTACCGACAGGGTAAGACATCTTCATAGTTTTAGCGAACACTTGCTGTCATCACTAAGTTTCAGTAGTCCATATCATAAAATATTCATTGTTATTTTGTTTTTGTACCTGAGGGACTCTGTTTCTCTGGATAGCGAAGATCGGATATCCCTTTGCACTGACGTTTTATACTTACAAAACATGGCGAGCATATATCCTCCATTTTTTCTTTTCTTATACACTGAGAAATCAATATTTGAAATGCTGGCCTACCTCATTGATAATTAGGGCAAAAACATTTAGACAATGACTAGGCGCCCCAGTGGTAACCATATTTAGATTGGTTTCTTTCGATGCACAGTCATGAATCAGAATGTATGCTGGGATGAGTAAAATCAAAACACGGTAATAACATTTGGAAAATAAGTGACGATGTGATATCGTTCGAAAAACGTTAATTAGATAATCCTCGTAAGGGGGATGCCATACCTGAACAAGTATTAAAGGAAACAAATGACATCGCCTCATCTATTTCATCTGTTTATATGCATAAAGACTGATACTCTCCAATAAGAACGACTCTCGAATGTGACAAGGGATGACTTCTGGTAGAAAGATTTCAGAAAGTGTCGTACGTCTCACTGCTGTACTCACTCAGTCAAGTATTTTCCTGATCGAGTTACAGAGGTCATGTCAGGTCCAATTATTTGTGTTGTCTCATACCCGGGCGTCGATTGGAGCAGCTTCTTGAAGTTGTAGTAGTCCCGTCCCAACTGACTGGCACTCACCGTGGTGTTATGCTGCCCAAGGAATATGTCAGGTTCTGTAACAATTAACACTCTTCTGAGAACATATGAAGAAATGTTATTTTCTTCAGAGACCTAATAGAGGGCACTGTGCCCTGATTCTGAAGAGAAGTGGGAAATGATTGACACAATTTCTAAAATTCAGGAAACAAAATTACAAGTTGTCACATTGTATTGAATTCGAGTCATTTTACAGAAGTATCATGGCAACTTTCAGTTTTCATCTTTCTATGCATATGGTTATATTGATACCATTTCCGAGTTCAAGGCCTGCCAGGTGGTAACCCTTTGCTTTGGTGTATTCCAGCAATCTTTTTGAGTTGTAAGGATCCCAGTGACCATCCTTCCTCTTCAGTACGTTCAGGCCAAATATTAACTTCCAGTTGACATCCTGGACAAATCTATTGGCAGCATCCCAGGTAGCTCCTGCAGACACAACAGGCGTAACGATAATGAGGTCCCATTTGCTTATGATGCTCTAATATTTGATGCACCTGATATTATCCAGCTTCAGTGATAATGACGGAATTCTTAGACACAGGTCCAATGCATGAAAATACTATAACACGGCAAACCATACTCAAGATGGAAGTAGATACACCCACCTGTGAAATGTGAATGTATGATTACTGCGTTTGGCCTCCCAGATAAGCACATGTGCAGTACCATAGCTCCACAAAGTACATGTATCATAAAAAGATCAACGCACCTGTTAATGCACGGCTGCTGTCTACTGTGCCATGACCTGTAGGGAGAAAGGTCAGGGTGTCCCCAGTAGTGCCTCCAATCCTCAGATAGCATGGCGACAAACCTCTAGCCAGGGTTCGAACTTTGTGAGAGCTGGAGGAAAACAACATCGTAACAAAGGGACAATCAGTTACCGTCTTTAAGCATATTTGCGTCGAGACAGAAACAACGAGCTGAAACACCACAGACCTAGAAACGTTACAAGCAGTCCGTTATATGCAGTTCGTTACATGTAGTTCCTTACATGCAGTTCCTTACCTGCAGTCTGTTACATGCAGTTCGTTACATGTAGTTCCTTACATGCAGTTACTTACATGCAGTCCGTTACATGCAATTCGTTACATGTAGTTCGTAGCATGCAGTTAGTTACATGTAGTTCGTAACATGTAGTTCGTTAAATGTAGTTCGTAACGTGCAGTTTGTAGCATGTAGTTCGTAACATGCAGTTCGTTACATTATAAGGGTAATGGTATTTTTGAGGGCATTATCATTTGCAGAAGCCAGAGGTCTTCCATTAACAAAGACCGAGGGCTTCTGCAAATGATAATGCCCTCAAAAATACCATTACCGTTATTATTGCTAAAATACATGGAATTTGTGTTGAAAAGAAAAAGGAAACAATGAAGGAATCTGACTGTAAGTTTACCCAAATCAATTTCTGCCGGGCTTGACTGCCCGAATGCAATTACGTCATCGAACAATTCAAGTGACGTCACAACAGAAAGTGACGATATTCGACCTTGGCCTTTGACAAGACCATAGCCTGCAACATGTCAAACTATGACAGTGCTCGGTTTTGGTCCATCAACAGTCTTAATAGTGCAATTGTTAAGGTTAGCACCAACAAGAAAGCCAATATTACCGCTATTTAAAGCGGGAATTTGGGTTGCTTTGACTTGTTTGACCAAGAATATCTGCCAGTCGAAAGCCAATTAATGTCGAACTATGACGTCACTTGACAACAGAACTGATAGTGGCCCGTCGTTAAGGTTGAGCGGTCCAATATCATTTGCAGTGGACCGCAAATTTCTGATAATGGGAGGGCCGCTTCATGATAATTCCAGGTATTTTAGCTACAAGTAGTTCGTAACATGCAGTTCGTTACATGTGGTTCATTACATGCAGTTCGCTACATGCAGGTCTTTACATGCAGTTTCCTAAATGCAGTCCGTTACATCTAGTTAGTTACACGCAGTCCGTTATATGCAGTTTGTAACATGTAGTCCGTTACGCATTGTCCGTCGTATGCACTTCGTTACATGCATTTCGTTACATGCAGTCCGCTATACACAGTCCGTTACATGCAGTCCGCTATACACAGTTCGTTACATGTTGTTCGTTACATGAGGTTCGTTACATGTAGTCCGTCGTATGCAGTTCGTTACATGCAGTTGGTTACATGTAGTTCGTTACATGCAGTTGGTTACATGCAGTTCGTTACATGCAGTCCGTTACATGAAGTTTGTTACATGCAGTCCGTCACATGCAGTTCCTTACATGCACTTCCCTACATGCAGTCCGATATATGAAGTTCGTTACATGCAGTTCGTTACATGCAGTCCGTTACAAGTAGATCATTACATGAAGTTCGTTATATGCAGTCCGTTACATGCAGTCCCGTTCATGCAGTTCCTTACATGCAGTCCGTTACACGTAGTTCGTTACACCCAGTCCGTTATATGCAGTTCGTAACATGCATTTCGTTACATGTATTTCGTTACATGCAGTCCGTTACATGTAGTCAGTTACATGCAGTTCGTTACATGCAGTTCGTTACTTGCAATCCGTTACATGAAGTTCGTTACATGCAGTCCGTTACATGGAGATCATTACATGCAGTCCGTTACATGTAGATCATTACATGAAGTTCGTTATATGCAGTCCGTTACATGCAGTCCCGTACATGCAGTTCGTTACATGCAGTCCGTTACACGTAGTTCGTTACACCATGTCCGTTATATGCAGTTCGTAACATGCATTTCGTTACATGTATTTCGTTACATGCAGTTCGTTACATGTAGTTCGTTACATGCAGTCCGTTACATGTAGTTCGTTACATGCATGGCCGGAACAAAAACCAAACACGTCGATGTATTTGTAAGTTCTATATAAACGTAGTTTACTGCATGACTGTGTTCAGAGAACGCATTTTGAAATTTAAATGAATAGAACTTTCAGTAACTTGGAGTTTATTGACGGCCTACTTACTTGAGGTCCAGTCCTTTCCAGTGCTGTGGGGTGGGCAGTAGACTGGAGTCCAGTGTTACGCCAACAAACAAGTCATCAGTAATTGAAACTGCGTGTGTTGTTGTAACTGTGACATCAACATGGACTACTCCCGCTGTGTGGGATATGAAGGTGGTGACCAGGAGGAGAGCTGACAGCGCTACCTTCATTGTCTGAGACTTTTCTGATCTGAATGAATTCCACGCTAAATCTGCGATCTGGTATGGCTTTATACAGACTGTGTTATCTGCAGATTAAATCGGGCCTGTGCCATTTTGAATGATTTATCTATTTAGGTTGACACCGTTTCTTTATCACGCACTAATATAACATCACGCACTTATATAACATCACGCACTTACATAACAAACCTTACACGTGAAAAGACAAGGAGTGCCAACCTTGAACAGGTCTAATCTGGTGTATTAATGAAGAAGAAATAGCTCGTTATATTTACAGGCACTTTCAGCAACAAGGTGACACAATGGCATATTAACGAAAACTATATCGAGCGTAATCCGTGTTGTACATGCGGATTATCGTTGTTACCTTCAGATAGCTTAGGGTAAAGATGTATTGAAGCCTTCAGGTCTTGCTCTCAGTCACGAGTGTAATGCTGATTTGTATACAACATATTTCACGTCATATGGGCCACGATGCAGTTGGTTTTACATGCGTGAGTTAATCACGTAAATTCATAACCTTGGTTAAAAATAGGAAAAATCGAGATGGTATGAACTTAATTTAATTACAAAATAACAGATAACTGAATCAAGAATACATGTTATGATTTCTTTTTACAACAAGTGCTGACAGTACTTCTGAATCATTCTGTGAACATCATCACTGACTGCTGCAGGCAGCCACGTCAGCCTCAGGGAAGACGAGGAACCCGAATGACTTCCCGGGGAAGGTAACAGTGCTTCTTTCCATCCTGTAAGGTTTAAGCTCCGGCAGCGTATTATTGACAAGCTTTATCGGGTTGTTGTTCAAGGCCACGGTTCTGAGATAGCGAAGACTGATTATGAACTTTACATGATAATTGTATATTGTAATTTTCCTGAATAATATTTGCGTGTAGATGTTATAAGTGTTTTAATGGCAATTCACCCATATCACGTTTCAAGTGAATTTTGGGGGCCTATTCCAGAAGAAATTACATAGTTAATTTTCCACCCGTAGCAACTTCTAAACTCTCATTGTGGAAATTCCCTGAGAGTGATTCTACCTATTGGTGTAAACCAGAAAGTGTATGTAGATTGACAGGAGGGGGTGTTTTGAAAATAGTGAGTGAGTCTATTGAATGGAGTGAACTAGAAGACTTCAGGTTGGGGAGGGACTTACTTGCTGGTGAGTCTACCGACTGGCGTCAGCCAGAACACATCTACAGGTTGGCCGGGAAATTGTGGAAACGAAATGGAGGTAGTGTTATCCGTGGGCAGCAGGAAGTACATCGTCACACTGCCGGGCACGTAGCCATAGGAACTAAAACACAACACTTAATATTAGACGACCGTTCCCTTGACATGAACATGAATCGTAATTCAGTATTGTTTATGTTCATTCCAATTATCTTTTAAAACGTACATTATGATGAAAGAAACAAATGTAGAGATATGTCGCCATTTGCTTAACCTGTGATTTTGCAATTTACTTGGATGGCTTTGTGCAGTGGGCGTAGGCTCTGATGGTGGTGTTGTCCACGCTCGCCTCCACAGAAAACACGGCGTCTCCCACCAAACTCTTGTACAGGACAGTTAACCAGTAGTCCTGCAGTTGAAGACATGATCAAAACAAAATCAATAATCTGTCATTAACGGTAAAAGTCACTACATTCATGTGTTGCTACATTAAACGTTCATTTCAACATATTGCTCAAATTAATTTAAGTGTCAAAAATTGTGTCTTTAAAGAGGAAAACAATAACTACACTGACCGATTCAAAATATGGATACTTGAAACATCTATTCGATATTATAACTCAGCTCGAAATCAGTGAAATCAGAGACGTGAACAGTATGATTAAAGTCGATATACCTGTCCAAAAGATATCGTGTGACTACAGAATCAAGAAAGAAAGAAGGAAACGGATCATCTCTATACTTACAGGTAATGGATCAAAGGCCGTTTCTATACTTACAGGCAATGGATCAAGGGCCGTTTCTATACTTACAGGTAATGGATCAAAGGCCGTCTCTATACGTACAGGCAATGAATCAAAGGTCGTCTCTATACATACAGGCAATGGATCAAAGGTCGTTTCTATACTTACAGGCAATGGATCAAAGGTCGTCTCTATACATACAGGCAATGGATCAAAGGTCGTCTCTATACTTACAGGCAATGGATCAAAGGCCGTATCTTTACTTACAGGTAATGAATCAAAGGCCGTCTCTATACTTACAGGTAATGAATCAAAGGCCGTCTCTATACTTACAGGCAATGGATCCAAGGTCGTTTCTATACATACAGGCAATGGATAAAAGGTCGTCTCTATACATACAGGCAATGAATCAAAGGCCGTCTCTATACTTACAGGCAATGGGTCAAAGGTCGTCTCTATACGTACAGGCAATGAATCAAAGGCCGTCTCTATAGTTACAGGCAATGGATCAAAGGTTGTCTATACTTACTGGCAATGGATCAAAGGTCGTCTCTACTTACAGGTAATGGCTCAAATGTATCAGTGTCAATCAGTGCATAGCTTCCAGCGTAGAAATCCTGTCTCAGCACTGCTTTCAGCCCCATCCTAGCAGCAATACCAAGCTTGTCCAGCCACCTGGACAGTGTACACTTTCAAAAGGTGGTATAGATGTTCCATTTATTTGAACACTTCTGTTGTATTACGAGTACTTTACAAAAGTCCTCAAAATTAGGGAAAAATACTTGTTTCTTAGGAATAATTTAGGAAAGAATTATAATGAATAGACATTGTTCATTATATTGCGTGTATAGGTGTCAAAGGTACGAGGTGGGCATTGTTTAATATCTGTTCCTGTCTTACGTACAGAAACCCAGCGACGTATCTGTCGGAGATTCCAGGAGCACCACCATCATAACAGGAGGACGTCTCCCCCAGCCAGACTGGGGTAAGTGGGTTGGTGCGTCTTGACACATTCAGCCCTGTCTCTATAACACTGACCAAGCGGTCCATCAACTTGGAATCGGTAAAATCAGAGAGCTGTGCAGTATGCCCATTGGTGTAGTATCTGTTCGAAACAAGGCTAGACTTGATACCAATGTTTCATCCACCTTTTCTGGTTGTAAATATCACAAACACATAAAACATGTAATACACGAGTGAGTGCTAGCACAACTAATTATAACATTATTTAGCCTCATATTATCCCATCATTTAACACATGTGATGAGGAACTTCAACGACAGATAAAACACAGGATTATCATGGATAAAACAAAACATTGGTGATGTTTCAGGTGTTACATTCCAAGGTATATTCAGTCAAAATTTATCAAACATATTTTAAGGCCTACAAATATGATTGAAATGAAATATTTGAACAGAGTAAGTGATCTTGTCATAAAAGTCCACAGTAAACACTTGGGCATTTAGACTGCCTGACTGATTGAGTTTGGTTTTACGCCGCTTTTAGCAATATCACGACGGGGGACACTAGAAATGGGCTTCACTCACTGTACCCATGTGAGTATTCGAAACCGGGTCTTCGGCGTGACGAGCCAACGCTTTAATCACTAGACTACCCCACCGCCCCGGCAGTTTAGAACATTTCATAGATACCAAAATCAACCTACTGGTGGAAGGTTATCCTGTCTACGGCTTTGTCCCCGCCTCCTGTGAAGAAACTGGAAACAAGGTGGGGTTAAATTATGAGTAATATTATTATAATGTCTTATCTGATTATATAACGATTGTTTATCAAAATAACCGCAAACCATAAATCAAACTTAACATTCCTCAACCAAGCACCAACTGACAAATCCGTAGGGGACTGTTTACAAATGTAAGTATTTTGTGGTTAACTCTTGTGTAAACTATATTAAACGCTCTCATGCGATATGGTTGACGCTAGTTGTGTGACAACAGCTCTTAAGTAAATTCATTGACACAAATGTCAGATGAATGCACTTACTCAGCAAAAAACGGTGTTCTTGACCCCGTTACAGACGCCATATCAGGTCCAATTACTGGTGTTATCCCATATCCTGGTATCGTTTTGAGCAACCTGTGGAAGTTGTAGAAGTCCATACCCAACTTACTGCCAGTGATGTTATATGTCCCATTGAAATGGTCAGGTTCTGCAACAATTTGAAAATGTTCACTATAAATTGTATAGTTATATACTTATCCTATCTCACGTCTTGTACCTCCTCTCTCTTCAATTCAACCTGCTGAGTGGAAAGGAACTGCAAATAAAACATCCTTGGCATCACTAGCCCCTACGCCCGAGCGCTGCCCCCTTATAAGGACGCCTGGGCAACCTCACGGGAAGCATGCAGCACACACCACTACCTACTCACGTGACCGTCTTACCATAATCATCCTCGTTCTTGGAGCAAAGTAAACAATCTGAGTAGTGGGGAGGCCTGGCGGGCATCCATCGCGTCAGATAGGATAAGTATATAAATATTAGGGCTGTGCAATATTATCGTAATATGGTTCAGATTCTGCAATATATTGGGTCATCCAGAGTTAGCTCCCATTGAATTATCTTCCCTTGATTTCCATTCCAACAATATGTGCTCTAAAAGTGGAAAAATGTACTTTTATTTCTGTTGGTTTCATGTAACATTTTACAAGTGGAAGCTCCAAGAGTACCAAATGTTCTACCAAATTCTTGGTTTTGTGGGTTTAAATGGTTTTATTTGTGCTATTTTGGAGGAATTAAGTAGCCTCAAATGGCCAATTTTTATATTTCGACTTATTCAGGCTGAATTTGTCTCTCGTCTGAAATTGTCTCTCATGCGGAAATCGAGTTTTCTATAAATTTATAATTCAAAGGGATTCTATGTATTTACCGTTCAAAAACGTTAATAAACTGATATATTTTCAATTCAAAACAATTTTACACGTAAGAGAGCACACTTGTACCAGTTCAGTGCACAATTTCGAATTGCAGAATCGGAAAATCCATTCCATTTTAGTATCACCCATCAGCGTTTCAACACCCTCCAATAATTTCACGTCCTTCTCACTAAAATTCTAAATTTACACAGGTGCCTCCAAAGTTGTCTTTTTAAAGGCTCTTCTTGTAAGTAGTGCCTGAGGGACCATTTCACAACTCACATTGTTTTGTTATTTTTGTTCGTTTCATAATGGGATATCTGTTGTCGATTTATTATAAAAGGCCTAAGTCTTATAAATTCTGCAGGACTGTATAATGACATTGTACTCAAGGATCTTAGTTAATTAGTAAGAAGACATCGTGTCGCACACAGAGAGCTATTATGAATTTATGATGTCAGCACTTCGGTAGAAACCTTCCAGTCTATATATATTACAATATGTATTGCAATATCTCTTAAATTATTGCAATATATCACAATATGAGAAACAGGGCAATATCCAGAACTAATAATTATACAATATAGTTAAAATTTCCGAGTTTTTAAACTTATCCTATCTGTACTTATCACACGGTCGAACGGGAGATTACCCAGATCAGGACAGTGCGAACAGCTGACGCTGTACAGCCTGCAGTCAACCATAGATAGCATTACACAAGGGAGTCCTGTTACGAAACTCCAAACTCCTAAGCTTGTGACTGGCTTTCCAGAACTCCATGGTCTACTAAGCACAACGACTCCCATGGAGATGGGTACTCTCGAGGAAATTGGTGTTCAACCGCAACCTTCGTACGAAACGAAAGGACGCACCTTTTGGTGTGTAAAACTCGCCAAGGCACGAGTTACAGAAGGCGTCAGTAAACTAAAGTCTTTCGACCTTAATCTGGCCCCCACTTGCTTCGTGATTGTCCCTGCAGACACCATCACAACTCGGAAAGCTTACTATTTTTACATTCAGTTCCGAACGACATCAAACGATTTTCACTTTCTATAACAACTTGTCAAAAGATGTGTCCAGAAACTTATGAGCATAACGCAACGAATCCAAAAGGAATACAGGGAGGACCCACTTTACTGACGTAATTGCTCCGTAGAGTAGAGGTTAGTAAGCGGGAGTGGTGATCACTTCTGTCTCAGGATACAAGATTTTGCCTTGAAGTCTATGATGAAGCTACACTGTGGCTGTACCCCAGTGTGTAACTAGGTGAGGTAGATCGAAACCAATAATAAACTAGAACAAAAGGCAGACATATTCAGTAATTACAAGGAAGCAATGAACCGAACGCGGTACACGTCCCTTTATCTGCGTTGGCGGGCTGATGATAGCTGCTGCATGGGCACAAAGGGTCCGAACTGACGTAGTCCTTGGACATCAGTCACGGAGACGTCTCGCATGTATTGTGAAGAGAAGACTGTATCGGATCGCCAAAAACACCCTTCCATAATGGATGTCAAGGAACAGTTACTATGTAGAACCATCGTTGAAGCTGGGGCTCGAGTTTCATGTTGACTAGAGGTGGTTGGGGGCGGTAACCCGGCAAAGGTGTAAGCCCATAGGATGGTAGAGCGCATCCAAAAAGATAGTGTAATCAGGGAGACTTCGGCTCTGGAGGCAGTTCCGTAACATCCGACGCTTTTGAGAGGGTTCAAGAAAGATCCTAACGGGGCACAATGACAAATGTCCAGAATCATCAGGCCCACGAAAGGTGGACAACAGGGGAAATGTAAAAGCTCCATTTGGTTGCCCTGCCAACTGGTTCTTCGCTACGAAGTCCCAATGGAGACCCAGGAAAAGCTGGCTATGCTTCTTCCGCTCAGACTTCACACGTTTGACATTCAGTGCATGGAGCTCAGATGAACGAGCTGCAGTAGCCAAAGCTACTAGGAAGAAGGTTTTAAACGTCACTTGCTGAAATTACTTCTCCTGAAGTGGTTTGTAGTCACTAGATACAAGACGCCGAAGGACAACAGAAAGATCCCAAGTCGGCAAACAGAACTTCCTAGACTGGGGTCGAATCCTCTTCCAGTTGTTAGAGAGATTGAGTTGATGTGCGATATGCCGTGTAGATTTAGCGTCTGTGGGGATCTGTGGTATAGGTCCGAGTGAGGATGAAGTAGAAGGTCATCTCGGTTGGGTAGAGGTACTGGGTTTGGCTCTGTAAGGCATAGTAGATCCACGAAGCAACTTCTAACTGGCCAATAAGGCGCGACTAAAACCAGAGATATCTCCCTTGTGGTTGACAGTTTCTGGGTTACCCTTGGAAGAATTGCCGGCGGAGGAAATGTATAGGTGTTGTGGCCGTCCCATGAGATTTCTAGTGCGTCTAGACCCCACGCTAGGTCATCCGGAATGGGGACACGAACCTCCGAAGTTGGTGTTTGAACCTGGTCACAATCATATCTACCTGTGGTCTGGTGATCGGGTAAACCAACGACCGGAATACCCGGGGAAGTAACTTCCACTCTGTCAGAGTACCCTATCGTGGAGGTGAGCCAAGAGACACTATCGTGGAGGTGAGCCAAAAGACCCTACCGTGGAGGTGAGCCAAAAGACCCTATCGTGGAGGTGAGCCAACAGACCCTATTGTGGAGGTGAGCCAACAGACCCTATTACAAGTATCGTCTCTCTAGTGGTTCGTAGAGCCATCACCTGATCCAAAGGGTAAGTCCGGTGAGATGGGACGAGGGGTAGAGGTGGCGATTCAATGACTGGCATCTCGTAACCATAAGCCAACGTTGAAAGTATGAATGGGTTGATGAGAATAGTCCAATTGGGGGCGAGGAGTCCTAATCTCCCACCTACCGGGGTATCCGAGATTGGCACGACCGGTGGTGGAAGGTCCCAGCCATGCAAGGAGTTCGGCGAGTTGGGTTTAGAGGGGTGCTAAGAGAAGCTACCATGGCCCTGCTTCCTAACGCGTCCATCTCTGAGTACCAGGTTTGAGGGAATGAACTCCGCTGCTTTTTCAAAGACTCCTGTAGGTCTGACTAAGAGGTCCCCTGATCGCGAGCAGATAACCGTCAAAATGGGTCAGCTGGTCCAGAACCATCTGAAACTGTTCCAACACCAGGGCCATAGAGTTGAATTCTGTGTTACTCCGCGTTTAGCAATAGTCCAGCAATATCACAGTGGCAGAAATAGGCTTCACACATTGTAACGATGTGGGGACTCAAACACGGCTCTTCAGCGTGACAAGCGAACACTTTAACCAGTTGGGTACCCCATCGCCCCTCAGAGACATAGACCCACGGATGTAAGCCTGATCATCAGAGTTGGCATGGTCGACCTCAGCCATAACAACGTCTACAGCCGACAGGAAGCAGTTAATACCGGGAAGCATACGACGTACAGCAGTATCCAGGTGAGCTAACCGATCCTCAATGAGGAAAGGCATCCTCATTCACCAGAAGTGCAACCACAAGCTTTGCAAACCCATGAAAATGGTTGGAAGGTTAGGAAAATCTCGGCAAACTAAACCAACCCTTGACTCGCTTCAGGTTACGAAATGCCTCATCCCACAAGGCCATCATTTGAGGAATGCAGGCACACGGTGAAAAGGAAACAGAGACCAAATCCCGACTGGGAATATAGTATGAGGTGGGTAAGTAATTCACTGAAGTACTCTTAGGCAAACGTAGTTTATCAACAACCCATGCTAGAACGTGCCCTGGCTTTAACATGTCAAAACTACCCTCCGGGGTAGAGACGTCATCCAAATAATGAATCGATTTGGTCTCCTGGTAGTAAACCACTTGTGTGATTCGGTGAAAGGTCCAGAAAAGAGGGTTCAGCGAATGGGACTCTCCAGCAACTGGAGAGTCGGACCTCCACCATGATTTGCCGAATCCACGGGGGAATTCGCGAACGGGATGACATCATAGTAGTTCTGAGATCCTGTCATCGGATGATTTCCCCCGTCCACGACCACACGCAACTTAACAGCGTGGTCCGAGGACGGTGATTCATTCAGCCCAGGAGCCGACGCAGGTTCTCAGAAAGAGAGGAGTCAGAGGAAACCTCCAAAAATCTTCTCTCTCAGGTGTAGGAGTGAAGGAACGGTAAGCTGTCTTTGTTGGACAGGCTTTCTTAGCCTTCTTGGGGGAAGAAAGGTCATGATCATCAGTGTGCCTCCTGCAGTCCCTGTCTGCCAAGCGACGGGACCCTACCCGCTTGTAAGCAGTGAAACCCGTGTCAGGCAAGTGTTTGCACTGATCACAACGCCGATCCCAATTGCAGAAGCCAATTTATTACACATACGGGCTAGGACACACAGGTGATTATTTTTGTGGTAATCGCACATGTGCTTATTCAGTTATTCTCAACGTTGATAGGTCAGCTAAGCAGAAAAAAAATATGATGGTTGACGGAACTACTTTTTACGATCCAAGTTTATTGACAACTTTTACCGTTTCGTTGATAATTAGAACGTACTGTACTCACACATTCCAATATTTAAAAAAGAAAACATTGAGGTTAAAGAACAGGAATATTCTTTTCATTAGACATTATTATTTTGCAAAGCAATTGCGTTAGAAATAGTTGTCTTTTTTAAAATAAATAACCTTTAAAAGAAACAAAATCAATCGTTTGCATTGTTTGTATTCAAACATGGCCGCCATTACGCTAACCCTGATCAAGGTCAATGATCTAGTTAAAGTCGACCTAATAGGAAGAGTGATGAGAACTTTACAGCCCTTGAATTCCTACAACCTGTTTGTTGTTGAAACTGAATTCGGGGAAATAAAAGCAGCATGATACCGATTAAAGGTGTTACCTGAAAGTATGACAAGTTAGTCTGCCACGGCGTCCATGCCATAGAACAAGGCACAATATCCTGGGCACAAAAATATTCAGTCAATAAACAGTTACTCTTCAATTAATAAGAAACAACGTGAGTCCATCAATAAATTGTTGTCCACCACTCTGCCCCCTTAGCCTCAGACTGCCACCATGACGTCACAGTCTTTGTCGCATGGCGTAAATCTTCATTCTGTACATACACTACTCTCATATTGCCGATGTGACGTTAAATATTAACTCACTCACACACTACTCTCAGGTCCAATTTATGGTGGTGTATTCCACTTCAACATCTCGAATGACTCCCCTGTCAGTCGACCTAAGCTCCAAATAGGCGTATTCTTCCCATTGACTCGGATTCCAACTAGAGTGCTCCTTCTAGGAACTGCTGTACCCTACTGCGACCAATGGCGTGACTGTAACACGCCTTCCACAGAACAAAATGTTGTTTAATCTTCAAACTTGTTGAGTTTCTTGACAGAAAACATTTTCAAATGTATTCGTGGGATGGTTTTTTTTTAGAGTTCCCAACTTTAACCGTTGACTTCAATACTTCAACGTCACTAGACACACGTCAGTCGTGAATGAACGATGTTCCGTTGCGCTGACTTGATCAAATAACGTTTGAGGTGTTATTAAGTTCTAGATTTGCATTTAAAAGATCATCTTTATCATATTAACTATGAGGTCACAAGTCCTGTCTCCCGGATGTTTTTTAGATGTTTTTTTTTAAAGAGAATGATTAAGGTAAGGTGGTCACGTGAGTAGGTAATGGTGTGTGCTGCATGCTTCCAATGAGGTTGCCCAGGCGTCCTTATACGGAGGCAGCATGGAGCGCTCGGGCGTATGGGCACGTGAGGCCAAGGATGTTTTATTTGCAGTTTGTTACCACTCAGCAGGTTGAATTAAGGAGAGAGACGTGAGAAAGGATAGGTTTACAAATTAACACTTTTTTCAAGCATTGGGCTTGAAGTAACACGAAATGTTATTCTCAAGTAATACATTGTTGCTGGAATTGACAGGTGTATGCAATTAAGCACAAAGGGGCATTTGTCATTTTATAATACGTTATATGTTCAAACTCAACGTTTTGAGACATCTTCAATCCGGTTATTTTTTTGTCTTTCGAATTCAATCCATTGTGAACAAAATGAGAAAGTAATGTCCAATGACTTCGACTCCTGAAGATGTTTAGACAAATAATTAAGTTATTTTCTAAAATTAATTAAAAGAAACGTCATCAGAATTGTAAAGTTTTGGCACATTGTAAAAAGTTCGCTTTGTTGAATTGAATCATTCCGTACAACTAAAATGGTAATGTCCAATCATATGTTTTCATCAACATGGTTACATTAATACCATTTCCGAGTTCAAGGCCTGCCAGTTGGTACCCTTTCGCACTGTTGTATTGCAGCAGTTCTTTGGCGTTGGTAGGATCCCAGTGACCCTCCTTCCTCTTCAGGGCGTTCAGACCGAATATAAACCTCCAGTTGACATCCTGGACAAATGTATTAAGAGCATCCCAGGTAGCTCCTGCAGTAACAACATACTTAACGATAATGAGATCACAAATACTTATAGTGTTAATTGAATCCTCGAAAGTGAGATAACCAACCACTCATAATGGTCGAAATTTTGGAGCACCTGGTATTCTCTTGCCTCAGGAATGAAGCCTGGGATTCTCATATGCAAGTGTATACATTCGAAATATTATAGCACGACAAACTATACAATAGATCGAAATAGATAAACGCACCTGTAAATGTATGATTGACATCTGTTGTGCCATGACCTGTAGGGTCAAAGGTCAGCGTGTCACCCACAGTTCCTCCAACCCTCAGATAGCATGGAGACAAACCTTTAGCCAGGGCCTGAACCTTCTGTGAGCAGAGGGGTAGCACAGGGCACTTCATAATATATGAATGATTCTACCATGACTTCAGTAAATATTGGATTGTGATTGGTTAATCAAAGTCATTCACAGGTATATAATGACGTTATATACCTCTGATTTTCCAACACAGTATGTATTTGTTTTAAATCTTAATGACGCGGTAATGGTAAAATGGAGATATGCGTACTGTGTTGGAAAACCAGAGGTATATAACGAAATTATAATAGCTCTATTTTATTTATTCATTTTATTGATTTTATAATACTTCTGATTTTCCAACACAGTAGGTTTATCTCCTAAATATTATGTGTCCTGTAAGTGATTCCAGAATACGAAAGTGTAACTTTGTTCATTCCAATTACTTTGAAGATCATTAACGCGATTAGGATCCAATTTCTTTTTTTTTTCGATTATTTGCATAAATAAGGTTTGCGTATAAGTGTGTCCAAAATACAAATTATAAACAAATGAAAGGAATCTTCAATAATGTGATAGCTGTTGACCTCTATGCCGGTCACCTTGACCTACTTACTTGAAGTCTAATCCTCCCCAGTGCTCCGGGGTGGGCAGGAGATGAGAGTCCAGAGTGACACCAATGAATAATTCATCAATAAATGAAACTGCTTGTGTTGTTGAAACTGTGACACTAACATTGACTCCTGCCGTTGATGTGAGGGGTATGAAGGTGGTGACCAAGAGGAGAGCTGACAGTGTTACATTCATCTTCTCAATTCTGATCTGATTGTATTCCGAACTTAATCTGTAGTTATCTGAGATATGGGTTGGCCTCATATAGACTGTGTTGTGTCGTCATTTGTACATGTTGTGCCTTTGCTATTATTGTGTAATGTGCTTGTGGTTGTGCTTGTAACATTACAACTGACACTCTTCATATTTTGAGTAACCAGGCACGGAGTCTGTTCGTTGTTGTTGTGGTTGTGACACGAATACTACATTAGACTTAAGTCAAATGATCAGCCAAGTCTGAGTGTCTTATCTTACCATTTCATTTCCGTCCAATCGAACGAAAATGATAACATTCCAGGGACACGTTTTGACCCAAATCCTCATAGGGTTTATAGGTCATTACATTAGTAATGTCCTGTCGAATGATAGTTCTGTTTGCCTAAAGAACTGTTTCATTCATTTTACCAAGCGTATTAATCGTTTTGCTCTGGGACAAATATGCATGTGTTTCTTAGAAACACAATACAAATAGTAGGTGTGAGCTCCAAATACACAGTCATGGTAATGTCATGGTGTTGACCTTGTGATGTCATGGTGTCGACCATTAATGTCATGGTGTCGAAATTGTATTGTCATGGTGTCGACCTTTGATGTCATGGTGTCGAAATTGTAATGTCATGGTGTCGACCTTTGATGTCATGGTGTCGAAATTGTAATGTCATGGTGTCGACTTTGTGTCTTGTTTCCTTGACGTGATGATATTTCCTTTTAGTCGACTCAGCGTTTGAAGATGACTATTCATATTTGTTTGGTTATCACAGGTGGTGAATATTTTGGGCATCGTCAGATTCTTAATGCCTCCATCAGCTTATATATTTACTGGTTATTTGAATGTTGTACGAGATCGATCCATGGTCGATTGTACCACAACGTTGTGAAATGTAAGCACCAAAGGGTGGAGCTGTTGAAAACATTGTTCGGCATGAAGGAAAAGCTGACTACTGGAAAAGTTTTTTTAGTCGTGTGGAGAGTTTGTTTGTCGCTCTGACACTAAATATAAATACACATGAGGTGGTTTCACTTATCTCAAGTTCAGGTGGATTAGTGCAGGGAATTGCCTATTTGACTTTAATTGAAATATAACTGATTCATACCCGAAGCTATCTCCATTGCCAAATTAACATGTTTTGATTTTGCCAACCAGAGCAGAAATGAATATTCTCATGCACAATTGGTGTCCAGTGGGGAGGCCAAATTCTTGCCTGAAAATTCTTTTCTCACATTTCCCATTGACCAGTTGTGAATGAGGATGCAATCCAAAATCCATAGGCAATTCCAAATTGTTTCCTCAGTATCTTTCAGACGATATTTGCGTTCATATTTGAAACCTTGAACCCTAATCATTGTTCTTAACCTATTGTATTGCATCAAATTGACCAAAGAAACGATTCGTTAAGGACTATACTATAATTTACCACTGAATGACCCTTTACAGGTATATGAATTCGACATGTTTCCAAATACTCAAAATATTCAAATATATATCCTCTCACTGATACATTTTACCAGTGTCTCTCCTGGCTCTTCTTGTTTATATGTATATAAGCATCAAGTGGACCCGTGTGTATTGTTGTCAGTGTAATTGTAGTACGATTTGACTATTTCTTTTTACTATATTCTTTATCAGCTGTTGTATAAGCCAAAGCATGAATTAAAATGATTGCGTATAAGCTCAAATTAACTCAAGTCCAAGGACAAAGCGCCTGTTGAAGTGTATAATATCAAATCATGAAAGCTTATCGGTGATAATAACACTTTCCTATATTTGCTCCCAGCAGCACCTCAAACAGTCGTTATGGAACCAATGCATCCATCCATCCTGCCAGCCAGCCAGCCAGCCAGCCAGCCAGCCATACAATGTGGTTGTATTCTGAGGTGAGATGGGAGACTGTTCAAGAGATGAGGGCCAGCCGTCTCGAGTGACCTGTCACCATATGTTTTTGTCCTAGTCACGGAAATTGTCAAAAGACATTGGTCATTTGATCGGAGGGAACGTGCAGGAGTATAACGGTGGAACAGTTCACGGAGGTACTGAGGGGCTAGAAAACAAGGAGTAGAGTTTTATATTTTATCCGGTAATGGACGGGAATCCAAGAAGTGAGTAAAGAACGGGAGTAATGTGGCCCGATTTCTTTGACTGAGAGACCACTCTGGTATTCTGCACCTTCTGAAGCTTTTGTATAAGATGATTTGGGAGACCCACATGAAGCGCATTACACAGTCAATTGATGTTTATCCATTTTTCCAGCATACACATGGTATTTTACACATTTAAAATTACACAAGAAACTGTTTTTGTTTAGGCAAGGGTGACTAGAAAAGAAAAACAAACTGTTTCACTTCTTTTTGTTATCAGTGCCAGAAAGTAGTAATAAGTTCAAGACACTAAAAATGAAATGTCGCCAGTAAATTTCAACATTTAGATAAGGTTTGGTACAATGCTGCTGTCAGAATTGTCAAAAATTAATGTTATTTCTTGGAGATAAATATGATAAATTTCTTCTAGAAAAAGTTCAACCGCAGTGTATCAAATCCAAACTCAAATTTTTCTAGATGTTTTCATGTCGCCAAAACTCGCAGGTCGTCTTACTATTTGTTTTACTATTTGTTTTATCGGCATTCTGGAAGTCGATAATGAAACATACAACAACGATATAACAATCCACAATACGATAATACAGCAAGTGTCCATTCTCCTGGAATGCCAAACAGTCCTATAATCAACAAAATATATTAAACCAAGTACAACTAGACCAGCTGTGCAGTACAAGGCCTTCTTTATTGTCACCATTCTTGATACAATACCAAAATCTCTATTTGCACGAACATAAATAACAATCATTGGCAGAAAACCACCATCTTTATGTCAGTTACCATACAAAATATATGTATATATTACATGTACGGTCGATGTTAGTATGAAAAAACTAAAGATAAATAACTTGGAACCTTGTTCCCTGAGCCTATGAAGGACAACATCTATTTGAATGTTTACAGTAGCTGAAACAAATAATACAAACATTGTAACAAAATATATCAACAATTAAATATACATCAACAAATAAATATATACAAAATTTGTAAAAAAGTTTTCAAATGAATAATAGAAAGGTACAACCTGAGTAATAAATATGAAAAGTAACAAGTAAATTGAGCATACAACAGTGCAAATCATTACTTTGCCCCAAACATGTGATTACTTCAACCAAAGTAATCTGCATACATGCATCATAATGGCTCATCACCCAATATATTGCAGCTGCTTTCCAAGCAATAGTGTGAACACATAGGTGATGCAGCAATCAATTCATCATGGTACAAATACATACACATATCAGATGATCTGGAGAACAAAACACTACATTGTAATGGTGATGTTTCCAATATAATTACATCAGATTTGCTGCCATTATCAGGCTTGTTCCCATTTCGCCTGCATCCCATTGCGCCTACACCCTTATCAAAACAAATTTACACTTGAGTGAACATAGGATTTGTATGCTGTTTACCCTGTTAACCCAAATAATGAGAAATAAACTTGTGAGTCGGGTTGAGTTGGTTTGACCATTTAGGGTCTGAGTCCAAGGTTCTTGCAGATCAACCTCAGCTCGAGACTGGGGAAGAGTTGGAACACACTTGCTTCGCTGTCGATACAGTCCGGACTTCAAGACTGACTGACTGACTGAGTTTGGTGTTACGCCGCTTTCAGCAATATTCCAGCAATATCACGGCGGGGGACACCAGAAATTGGGCTTCACTCATGATACCCATGTGGGGATTCGAACCCGGGTATTCGAGCCAACGCTTTAACCACTAGACTACCCCACTGCCCCCCGGACTTCAAGCTGTTGAAGGATGGCATGCAGGTTGCTGCGTTCACGTCTTCAGCTGCATTCAACTCATCATCGTAGATCTGCTGAACTGTCTGCACACGTTCACGGAGTCGGCTTAGAAGATGCGTATGATCTTCATTCTCTCTGGGATGGCAGTGGTCAGATGCAATGGTGATGTGGTCCCCTATGGTACTGCAACGTGTCTTGCATCCTGTCTGAACACACTTCCAGTGTGTTGCCATCTGACGTTTCATATTCAGTCGATAGCGATATCCATCATATAGAACTTGCTGCCCGCCTCTCTGTGTTGTAATAAATTCTACTCTCTGTGACATCACAAACAACATTTCACATACCTTATATACTGTACATTAAAACAACAGTACACGGAGAAGAGAACATAACAACATTGCACATTGAGCAGGAAGCATGAGAGTAGCCACTTTATTAAGGTTTTATTAAAACAACAAATCTTATCAACATAGATATAAAGAGATTTGATCTCAAACCTATTATAGTAATTTTCATTATTAAGCAACAAACCAGTTTAATTAATAAAATAACAAAACAAAACAGTGAACATATTCTTTTGACGATGCTGAGCAGGAAATGTGGGCCATCCCATTCACTGAATGAGGGGTGGATGGGTTGCCATCCTCAATTACTGTAGTCGAAATGGGATGTAGGCGAAATGGGATGTAGGCGAAAAAGGATGTAGCCGAAATGGGAACATCCATCTATTGCTGATGGCCGCATTAAACAACAAACAAACATGAGATTCATAACTCCTGAGCAGATTATAATAAAACATGAGTATTGTAATAGCTCTGGAGCCAAATAAGTCACTTAACAGTTACGGCTACATGGCCATAAAATAAACATATAAATGTACCAAAGTGGTAAACTCATCTGAATTCAACACCTACCAAAACTAGCATGAAATTACATACACTTCTTATTCAAATCCATTAAATATAAAATATCATTATGGATGGATGGACGGACACATTCAATTCCGAGAGGATAAAAAGTCACACATATATTTCAAATCACAAGTGTTTGCCACTAACATGGCAATGTCCCTCGCTGCAGAAGAAGAATGACACATAACACATTTACTAGTTTTATCTTTTGGTCACATAGAAGATTACCTTTTGTGTGATATAGTTTTAATCATGATCTCAGAATTTTTCTCCTTGAAAACATTTCAGGAATATAGCAGATTTGAATGTATAGATGCAGATGCACATATCCACTGTCAATATCAGTGTGTATTAGGGCTGGGATGGGACCAAATTTTCTACCTTGGTATCCCACCCCTATTACCCTACCCTACCCTGATACCCATTATGTAATCACCCAATGTAGGCTGTCGACATATTTGAAACAATGGTTGCAACGTCTTATGAGATATCACGTTAAGTTTGGAAAGTGGTCAAAGTGTCGTGTCCAGGTCACGCAAATCGACTGATGTCTGTGTAATCACCCAATGTAGGCTGTCACCAAATTTGAAGACATTGGGTACAACAGTGCATGAGATATCTGGTTAACAAGAGTTTGAAAAGTGGTCAAAGTGTCGTGGTGACCTTGAAAATAAGGTCAAGGTCACCCAAATCAACTGGTGTCTGCATTATCCCCCAATGTAGGCTGTGATCAAATTGGAAGACATTAGGTTTAAGCTGGCGACTGGTCTCAACAAAATAATCCAAAGCGTAGCAAAGTATCTTTCCAATGGTGGTTCCTCATACAGATTATTGATTGTTTGTGTTTGCCTGATACCCCCCTCGATTCCTGTCACTTGTAATGTAAATGTTAGGAAGATTGATTATCCTAATCAAAATGCTCTTGGTCAACAGGTACAGATACTATTTGTATCAACCTACAGACAAATTGTCACCGAGGACGATATGGTGTTAGTGTCATCACAGATTTCCTGTTTTCCATTCACACCTGTATTGAGCCTTCTGCTCGCTAAAGAATCTGTTTCATTGTATAATGGTGTTGGGTTGCTCTGTGTCATTGATGATGCTGCATAAATATCCAACACCCATCTAGCAATATTATCAACGACAATAGGTTTAAGCGGAACTAATGTCATCAAGCTCATGATGTGAATCCTTCTTCTCATGTGAGGTCTCCTCTTTCTGACTACTCCGCCATTCCTTTCTAGGTTTAGTAGCTTTGATCAGCCTCTGAAGGGTAAATATCAAGGATATAAAAGATAAATATCTCAATCATTTAATCTTAACATACATCCTGTTCACTTCGTCTCAAATGATGAGCTACCTATAGCCATTATTCTTACATTTTTAAACACCCGTGAAGGTCCAGGTTAGAATGAGCCTTCAGTAACCCATGCTTGTCGTAAAAGGCGACTAACGGGATCGGGTGGTCAGGCTTGCTGACTTGGTTGACACATGTCATCGGTTCCCAATAGATCGATGCTCATGCTGTTGATCACTGGATTGTCTGGTCCAGACTTGATTATTTACAGACCGCCGCCACATAGCTGGAATATGGCTGAGTGCGGTGTAAAACTAAACTCACTCACTCACTCTTACCTCTTTAAAAGTGGTACCTTCTTCCTTCCGAATGGCGATCACCATTCCCACTGGTATTGGAATCACAGGGCACATGGCAATGATCCAGCCAATGGCCTGAGACCATGGCGGATAGCCTGTCCTGCCAGGACTCACAGGCGAAAAATTAATGAAGCCGCCTATCAGCAACACCTGTCATAAGAACATTCTGGTGTAAATAAATAAATAATTAATAAATAAATAAAAGGTTAATAACTGTGATATATTGCAGTTAGTTGAATATCAGATTGGCATCACATGAACATGTTTGTATCTGATGTAAACAAATGAATAATTACTAAAGGAGATATATTGCAGTTATTGGAATATCAGAATACCATCATATGGACATGTTTATATCTGATGTCAATTAATGAGTGTGTGAGTTTGCTTTTGTGCTGCTTTAAGCAGTATTCCAGCAATATCACTGCCGGGGACACCAGAATGGATGGATGGATGGATGGATGGATGGGTGGATGGATGGATGGATGGTTCACAGCAACAATACCTAAACCACACGACTGCACTGACGTGCTTCTAAAGTACAGTTTGGTAGTCTTGTGGTCGAAGTGTTTGCTCGTCATGCTGAAGAAACAGGTTTAATTTCCCACATGGTGCAATATGTGAATCCCATTTCTTGTGTCCCCCACTGGGATATTACTGGAATGTTGCCAAAAGAGTGTAAAACCATGCTCACTTCTGTACTTTGGAACAACCAAATTTAAAAGAAATGACAACTCACAATGATATACAGAGGTGTTACAACAAGCCACATGGCCTTCCAGACAGGAGACACTCGGTAGCCAATCATCATCTCCAGATCATCATACAGACGGTTGACACCTGTTTCAGAACATATGGACATTTTTGGAACAACAGGAAACAAACATGTTATCGTTAATATGTGATGTGCATTAATAAGCCCCAAACATACCTCGAGCGCAGAGATAATCAAGTGACTTTAAATGGATCTGTTGTGTAGATGGGGTAGTCTTGTGGTTACAGCATTTGTTAGTTACACCGAAGAACCAGGTTTGATGCCCCATATGGATACATTTTGTGAAGCTCATTTCTGTTGTTCTTCAGCGTGTTTTGATTGATGATTGGTAAAAGTAGTGTTAAGCTTACTCACTTAAAAAGAAGGCGTAACTACTGATAATTACTACAGAGTGAAATGTATTGCATAGATTGCTTCTCATTATATCATGAGTCAAATTTAATCCCTAGGGTAACGTTACCAAACACACACAAAATAAATGTGACCAAAAAAAAAAGGTGATATATAGTCATCATTCTTGAAAGAAAAGTTCTTATCAATATTACAAAGCTGTAATTTTATATCGTTGACGTTCCATTAAGCAAAAAGAAAGTCCTTTATTCTACATCGATCTTCACGCTAAAATTATGGTAACTCCCATACTTTAACATTGACTTAGCACTAAGGTTGTTTGCTGCCATCTCAGATGGTTGTGCTCCCATTATGATATTTATTAACCAGTACAATTTATCTTCTTTTGAATGACGGAGCATCTCCCTCAGCAGATCTTCATTCTTAACAGTCATTGTTATCAAGGGGGAGATTGAACATATTGATATGCAAATTTGACATGATTTTGTACATTGTACCCATGACAAGGGATGTGCTCCGCGTAGAAAGCTTGCTTACCATATATCCACGCCAGAACCAACACTTCCGCTGCTACCAGCACCATGACTGATATGCTGGCGATGTACCAATCCATCAGCGACAGCACGTAGATACCGCCCTGGAACAGTGTATAGTTGTATTTGGTTGGGGAGGTACAAAGTTTAAAACTGAAACTAACCTCAACAAATAGTTTCACTGGCTTAGCTCATCAGCGTGAGGGCTAATTGTGGACAAGCTGACCTGAGTAAAATGCTGTACGTGTTAGGAAGAACATATTAATCTGAGTGGTGGAGAGTTCCTGCTGGGATGGACATAGCTCATCTGAGTGACGAAGTGTTCCTGCTGGGATGGACATAGCTCACCTGTGTGATAGAGTGTTCCTGCTGGGATGGACATAGCTCACCTGATTGATATAGAGTTCCTGCTGGGATGGACATAGCTCACCTGAGTGACACAGGAATATCCCAGCATCAAGCCAGCACAACACAATACAGCTGTTATAGGTAACTCTAAGCCTCTCAGAGATTTTGGGAAGGCGTCATTCATGGCCATAAAAGCTGTATGGACGTGGATTATCTGGATATGAAAATTGTATGCAACATTAATATGCAAATCATTATCAAGGATCATGTATGTCATGGCCATCTCCACTTTCATTACTATCTATGGAGTAAACTAAAATGGTTCTGTAATCACATTTCAAGTCTTTCATATCACCAAACTTCATACAGGCAAAAGTTATTGCAAATTGGATAGATTTCTTTCAATTTTATCGTAAAACTCTTTGTACCTCTGGTACTTGCCACTGAACAAAACTATCCTCTCTATTGTTATGAACAGTGTTTCTATTGTTGTGAACAGTGTTTCTATTGTTGTGAACAGAGTTTCTATTGTTATGAACAGTGTTTCTATTGTTGTGAACAGTGTTTCTATTGTTGTGAACAGTGTTTCTGTTGTTGTGAACAGTGTTTCTATTGTTGTGAACAGTGTTTCTATTGTTATGAACAGTGTTTCTATTGTTGTGAACAGTGTTTCTATTGTTGTGAACAGTGTTTCTATTGTTGTGAACAGTGTTTCTATTGTTGTGAACAGTGTTTCTATTGTTGAACAGTGTTTCTATTGTTGTGAACAGTGTTTCTATTGTTATGAACAGTGTTTCTATTGTTGTGAACAGTGTTTCTATTGTTGTGAACAGTGTTTCTATTGTTATGAACAGTGTTTCCATTGTTGTGAACAGTGTTTCTATTGTTGTGAACAGTGTTTCTATTGTTATGAACAGTGTTTCTATTGTAATGAACAGTGTTTCTATTGTTATGAACAGTGTTTCTATTGTTATGAACAGTGTTTCTATTGTTATGAACAGTGTTTCTATTGTTATGAACAGTGTTTCTATTGTTATGAACAGTGTTTCTATTGTTGTGAACAGTGTTTCTATTGTTGTGAACAGTGTTTCTATTGTTATGAACAGTGTTTCTATTGTTGTGAACAGTGTTTCTATTGTTGTGAACAGTGTTTCTATTGTTGTGAACAGTGTTTCTATTGTTATGAACAGTGTTTCTATTGTTGTGAACAGTGTTTCTATTGTTGTGAACAGTGTTTCTATTGTTGTGAAGTGTTTCTATTGTTGTGAACAGTGTTTCTATTGTTATGAACAGTGTTTCTATTGTTGTGAACAGTGTTTCGATTGTCGGAACAGTGTTTCTATTGTTATGAACAGTGTTTCCATTGTTGTGAACAGTGTTTGTATTGTTGTGAACAGTGTTTATATTGTAATGAACAGTGTTTCTATTGTTATGAACAGTGTTTCTATTGTTATGAACAGTGTTTCTATTGTTGTGAACAGTGTTTCTATTGTTGTGAACAGTGTTTCTATTGTTGTGAACAGTGTTTCTATTGTTATGAACAGTGTTTCTATTGTTATGAACAGTGTTTCTATTGTTGTGAATAGTGTTTCTATTGTAATGAATAGTGTTTCTATTGTTATAACTATTGATATACATAGTTACAACTGCTATATAATGTATCTGTCAATTCAGTAAGAGGCTATATTTAAACTTATGCCATGTACTGCCATAGTGATATCTTCGTATTGATTTATGCTGATTTGTGAATTAGTTCATTTGAGAATAACAAGACCACATGTATTACATGTGCTTCATTGTGGGGCAGGACTGAAGTCCTAGAAACTCTCAGGAGTCATGCTGCCAAACACGGTCACCCATCCTAGGACTGTCCGTGACCAATGTTGCTTGATTTTAACTGATTTTTTACCTGAGCTCTATGCACATGACCACACCCCAACCACAATTGAATACAATTGTTATTTGCACATTTCTGTGTTGTGTGTTGTTTTCACAGCCAGGGGTGTAGCTACCATTATAATAAAAGCCCGGGCTTACACATGATTGTTGCTAAAAAGGCTGGACAAGCCCTCAATACTATCCAAATATAAAGCTTTGCAACCTATCAGGCTTACACGAAAAAAGTGGCTTTCTACGCATCTGACAACTAGTTATTTTATGGAATTATTCCATTATTATTTTAGTTTCAACTAGGAACTAACACGTAGCACTATAAGCATCATGACCTGGGGTGATGTTCTTCCTTTTTCCTTGTACGATCTCATCAGTGCTTCATGTTTCAGTTGCCAAACACTCTAACAGTCACAACAATAACTGAAATGTTGGATTTGGGACTGTGGAAATCAAATTCAGAATCTCCTGGTCAGTTGCCAGGCAGTCTAACCATTGCAGCACAGAACTGATTGACAATATGGGTTTTATTTGGATGTACCATGTTTAGATTATAGTACCTAGTCAAACATATTTTACATGGGCTTTTCAGGCTGTTGAAACACACTTGTATACATTATGTTAAACAATCATTACGTGTTATATCGACAGTGTACAAATAAGAGAAAACACTTCGTAGTTTGGGGTGAAAATGTACGCCCTCAGTGTTGTGGAAAGTTCTCTCCCCGAATTAAACATTATTGAACTCATTTACTGCAGCCTGGTAGATATTGTACAAAATCTTTAAGGGTGGTAAATATAAACCCTTGAAACTCTTCATGAAAATACTTAACATAAAGAAAAGGCACGGAACAATTGTTGAATGGGTTAATTTCCCAATATTTACTTATTTCATGCATAATGTCAGAGCCTAATATTGGATTCGTGATTCTCCCATGAGATTTATGTCTTCTTTGACCGTAGTAATATCCTTGGAGTTCTTTGTTATACTGTTAAGTGTAATGCTTCCTGAGTAAGGCCAGACCAATTTTATTTCTTGTTTTACAGAGTTTTGTCCTCAGAAAACCTAAAGGAAGGAGGGAAAATAAAAAATTAAAAATCACCAATCAAAGTAATATTCCTTCTAAATACCAAAAGTATTTTACTTTTGGATATTTATGAAGTGTATATGGGGCAAAAAACAATCTAAAAAAAACTTTCGTGTAAGTACAAACATTAGGAGGTGGGGGGGGGGGGTATTTTTAAATATTTTTTATCTCATTCTTGTTAAAATACGACCGGCGGATCTGTAAAACAAGAAATAAAATTGGTCTGGCCTAAGCTGGAAATCAGTCGGTAAAAGAGCTCAGTGTGAAACCAGCGAACAACAAAGAAATGTGACATGATATGTATTGTCATAAAGAGCTAACTGAGTTTAAAGGTCAATACAAGGAATCACAATTGCCCTGCAGAACAGAGTGGAGGTGCTGATTCAAAAGCAAAATTATAAAATAAACATTGATTATAGCCCAAAACACATGGACATTAGCATTCACTTGACAAGTCAAGTTTTTAAAATAGGCCTAGCCTGAGTATCCAGGGTCAAAACTGATCTTCACACCACTGGCTTTCTTATAACGTGAGATTCATGTAAAATAGGCATCGCCTGAGTATCCAGGGTCAAAACTGATCTTCACAAAACCTCTTGCCTTCTTGTGACGTGAGATGTCATGTAAAATAGGCCTCGCCTGAGTATCCACGGTCAGAATTGATCTTCACACAACCACTGGCCTTCTTGTAACGTGAGATGTCAGGTAAAATAGGGCTCGCCTGAGTATCCAGGGTCATAATTGATCTAATGTAAGGTGGCTGAGGCCAAAGTGCAACTGTTCCAGAAGTATCTGGATTAGGCTATGCTGGAAAGGCAGTTTAGAGCCCTGTAGTACCTTCCAGAATTCTCAGTCTAAATACAGCACCCTAATGATTATGTCATCAGTAACAACACTTGAAACACTGGTAGACCATTCAACACATGTCAACACCATGTCAAAGAAACGTAAATCAAATATGCCTGTCCAATTGTTAATCATTGTCAACCTTAATCCATCTGACATACTAATCCGATCTGTTTTCCATTAGACAGTGCATTAAGTGAAGCTAAAATGTTATATCCCCAGCAGTGATTGTGATTTATCATATTTCCCAGTTTGTGTTTTTTAGAAATATTTGGAAATCAATAGTATCATAAATTGTACCTGGCCTTCCAGACCAATGATGAACAGCGACAGGAAGAATATTGCTGAACACAGCTGAGACCCAGGCATTGTCGAGACAGCTTTGGAGTACACCATGATTGCTAGACCAGGGCCTGAAGTGAATAACATAATAGTCATGTTTTCATGATGAAGTTTTGGGTTGCATTTTTGACCTTCTAGAATGATTTTTTGATATTTTGTATGAAATACACAATGCCATTTAGAAAGTGGTCAAATATAACATATTTGGAAGGCGCGGTGGCTGAGCGGTCTAGGCGTCTGACTTTGTGTGCTGGCGATTAGGTGCCTGACTCTGAGGGTGTAGGTTCGAATCCCGGGTGGGACTAAAACAATCCAACAAAAGTATTAGAATCTGTACTTTACAAAGAAAATTCACTCACTCACTACTATGTTCTTGTTCATTTGATTAGATTTTTCAAGATTTAGATTATCTTCTCCTTAGTTCAAGTTTCTTTTCAAAGGCTCTGGCACAATGGGCGGGGGGTTGCCTGTGGTCAAATCATTTGCTGATGACCCAAGTTCAATTCCCAACATGGGTACAATGCGTGAAGTCCATTTCTGGTGTCCCTTGCTGTGATATTGCTGGAACGTTGCTAAAAGCGGTGTGAAACGATACTCAATCACTCAGGAGCATGTTTCATTTTTATAAGAGTTTAGGTTTAGTCACCATCAAAGTCTATGTTGCAACGTAACAGGTATATTAACATTTTCCATAACCCTCAGTGTAATGAGATATATTGGCCATATTGCACTGCTCTATCCATATCGGCATTGTTTTGTTTTTATCACACCCACCTCCTTTTACTACATCTGAGACTGGCAATTGGGTTTCGTTGGCCATGTTACCCAGGAACATGAAGATGATGAATCCTACGAACAGGCTGGCGAGACAATTCACCACAATAATCGCCAGAGCGTCTCTGAAAGAAAACAAGAAACATATGTAGAAGCATATTTATGTTGCTATCGAACCCATTTGAGTGAGTGAGTTTGGTTTTACACCGCTTTTAGAAATATTCCAGCAATATCACGGCAGGGGACACCAGAAATGGGCTTTACACATTGTACCCATGTGGAGAATCGAACCTGGGTCTTCGGCGTGACGTGCAAACGCTTTAACCACTAGGCTACCCTACTGCCCCCGAGCCCATTTGATAAGAGAGAAGCATAATGACATCCCCAACTTGCAATAACTATTTCCCAAGTAGGATTTACGTGTCATTTAAATTACAGGTGAAAAGCAAATGCTCTGCTTTGTAAATATATAAACCTTAATTATGCACCTCAAATCGATAAGTCTGCAAATTAAATATGTATTTGCCAAACAGAAGTTGTTCAATCGTTACAACATTCAATGCCCCATAACATTTCAATTTCTTTTACAGTAAAAGTGAGGAAGATATCTCCAAACTGGACACATCAAATGATGTATGATGCAATTCCCTAGTTTGACTTCTAGCACACATTCCTGTTTCCCATTTTATTATATTCTTAAGGGTGAAATACTGTAAATATTGGTGAAAATAAAAATGGTATTTTCACTGAGTAAAATAACATGTTATTTCACTGAGTAGAATATCACTTTTGCCTGGAACTCAAGGGCTAGACTGTAGTTGGGTTGCGTAATAAAATTCAGACTTACTCGATGTCTCCATCATTTATAAACAATGTTCAAAATTTAATAACACTTTTTTGGGGTGTATAGAATAGAATATTTTGTTAATGATGTCAAATAACATGTATATTTCATCTCGTGGTCTGACAAAGTTGATATGTTCACGAGTGGCGCATATACATGTGTTTATGCCGAGTGCCACCGGTAGGGCAGGATACGCTCACTGTTTGGCAATCACCTGGTGTCATCACTATTGGATAATGATTCACAAGCACATGCTCATGTCGGAATTGCACAATCGACTCTGCATTTGGCAGATATTTCACATGGACATGGAAAGGGTTTTGTCGTTAATATTATTGGATTATTTCATCATGTCCACAGCACTATGTACTATGTACGTTGTTCCCTCTTTTATGATAAGGACACACATGCATAACATGCTGTTTACTCATGAGATATTGTTTTTCCATTCACTATGTGCCACATTGAATATAGGATCAATATATACAGTGATTTAGGATGCATCATTTGTCTGAACTATGTCTGCCCCGAAAAGATGTCAACAACTTTATATATCAATATAGCTTATATAAGATTCTTACCTAGTTGGGATTGTAAACCGTCAGTTTGTGATGTGTCATGAGGTCAACCATCTCTGTCTGACTGGTGTCACTTGTGTGCCAACCATGGCTAGTCTGACTGGTGTCACTTGTGTGTCAACCATGGCTAGTCTGACTTGTGTCACCTGTGTGTTAACCATGGCTAGTCTGACTGGTGTCAACCATGGCTAGTCTGACTTGTGTCACTTGTGTGTCAACCATGGCTAGTCTGACTGGTGTCACTTGTGTGTCAACCATGGCTAGTCTGACTGGTGTCACGTGTGTGTCAACCATGACTACTCTGATTGGTGTCAACCATGCCTAGTCTGACTGGTGTCACTAGTGTGTTAACCATGGCTAGTCTGACTGGTGTCGCTTGTGTGTCAACCATGGCTAGTCTGACTGGTGTCACTTGTGTGTCAACCATGGCTAGTCTGACTGGTGTCACTTGTGTGTTAACCATGGCTAGTCTGACTGGTGTCACTTGTGTGTTAACCATGACTAGTCTGAATGGTGTCGCTTGTGTGTTAACCATGGCTAGTCTGACTGGTGTCACTTGTGTCACTTCTGGTAGATTTTCAATGTTCTTGTATCAGGTCAAGTCTGTATGGCACTGTTGGATGAGGGATTGAAATGTCTGATAGACAACATTCATGTAGTTATGTGATTGTATATATGAAATATGAAAATAGTTCATGAATGGACGAATCTGTCCTCTACTGATAAACATTTTGCCTCTACACATTGGATTATGTAGAGGGTAATGTCCGAGTAACTCTCCATACGAGGATATTACCTTACTTAAATTACATTCAAAGTATTGGTAATATTTCTGTTATCAAAATTAAATGTCAAAATGACAAAATGAAATTTGAAACTGGTACACATCGCTCCATTCCTGAAAAGTAATGGAGCGAGCAGACAATGGAATGACGTCACAAATGTAATTTAATGGTTGGTTAATGGATGGTTGTTACTTGGTGTCAACATACAACTTGCGTTGATGGCATCTCATCCCCAACTGAATTGCCTGAATATGTGCAAACTCCCACAAATCAAATACAAATACAGTACTGAGAAGTTGCACTACCCCTAACAGTTTCAAAGATACATTTACAAAGATAGTTGGAGAATGGCTGAGATATAATGGATGTTTTAAAATACAAGTTGAACAGTTTCAGACGAACAAGATCGAGACAGAAACTGTGTATCCAAGTCGGGGAACATCAGATTTGATTGGTTTGGAATGGTTTGTAACAAAACCTCTCAAACACAGCCTATCACATATATTCATGAAATGTTGGCATCAAGTGTTGACCGTCCCAGTGACTGATATGCTGCCATATGGACATCAATGAAAATGAACACAATGAGCCCTTTAGAAACCGCAAATTGTCCTTACCTGTAACAGTTATTGTGAATCCCGTTGAAGCTCGCCATGTTAGACATTCTCCCCCACCCTATACCCACAGAGAAGAAGGCCTGGGCCACAGCATTACGCCACACCTTAAAGGCAATGAGGAAAACACCAATGTAGTTCAGTTTATGCCACCTTGTAAATTGCCAGGGAAAACCAGTCTTTGTTTTCATCAGGCAACGTTCATTACCTCAACCGAGCTGGGTATAGTCGTGGTAATTTTAGCCAAACCCATGGGGGTTTCAATTCTTTGAAGAGGGTCTCCGTTGGTGTACATATATATTTATTTTCTGTGTCCTGTGACAATTTATAACAATGTTGTTTTATATTTATTATATAGCCCACTATCACCTAGGATTACCTCCCTTACCGCACAGGGGTATCCCTGGCCCAAATCATCATTCCTTCAGCTGACGATAAATATCAGAGAACAGAATTATGGGTAGGTGACCTCTACATCATAAGGAGGGGTATGCACCATGGACCTCCACCCGCACCTGTTGACCAGAGTTGTGACATTGGTTCTCACTTTACTATACTCACTTTAACAATGTGACATCGTTTTTCAAGTGGAAGATTAAAATCAGAATTATTGCTTCCTTGATTGTCAGTTTGATTGTTGGGGTGATGAAAAATGATGATACTTTTAATGGATATACAACTTTTTTATTCTGTGAAAGGCGACATTTCAACATAGGTTCTAGTTCACAATAAAGAAGTTGTATATCTATAAAAAGTATCATCTTTCGTATGATGTGCACATAAAAAGAAAATAAATTATTTTCATTAAAACATTGTCCCAACTGTTATAGGACATGTTCAGCAGCAGAAACTGCATAAAAGTACCCCAAGTACCAAAATAATCGTTTAATCAATTACACTCACTTTAAGTACAATGTACATGACATCATTTCTCAAATAGAAGATAAAACATTAGAAGTATTATGTGCACTTTGAAAGAAAATATCACCTTAATATCCAGGAGCCTTTCCCACTGGGGTAAAAAGTAGTATTTGATTCCATACACACACATCAATTGTCAAGGTGCTGGAGAAATACACACAACAATTGTCAAGGTGCTGGACACATATACACACAACAATTGTCAAGGTGCTGGAGACACTCACATCAATTGTCAAGGTGCTGGAGACACACACATAACAATTGTCATGGTGCTGGAGACACACACAACAATTGTCAAGGTGCTGGAGACATACACACACATCAATTGCCAAGGTGCTGGAGACATACACACACAACAATAGTCAAGGTGCTGGAGACATACACACAACAATTGTCAAGGTGCTGGAGACACACACAACAATTGTCAAGGTGCTTGAGACACACACAACAATTGTCAAGGTGCTGGAGACACACACAACAATTGTCAAGGTGCTGCAGACATACACACAACAATTGTCAAGGTGCTTGAGACACACACAACAATTGTCAAGGTGCTGGAGACACACACAACAATTGTCAAGGTGCTTGAGACACACACAACAATTGTCAAGGTGCTGGAGACACACACAACAATTGTCAAGGTGCTGCAGACATACACACAACAATTGTCAAGGTGCTTGAGACACACACAACAATTGTCAAGGTGCTTGAGACACACACAACAATTGTCAATGTGCCTGAGACACACACAACAATTGTCAAGGTGCTGGAGACACACAACAGTTGTAAAGGTGCTTGAGACATACACAACAATTGTCAACGTGCTAGAGACACACACAACAATTGTCAAGGTGCTGCAGACACACAACAGTTGTCAAGGTGCTGGAGACATACACACAACAATTGTCAAGGTGCTGGAGACACACACAACAATAGTCAAGGTGCTGGAGACATACACACAACAATTGTCAAGGTGCTGGAGACACAACAATTGTCAAGGTGCTGGAGACACACAACAATTGTCAAGGTGCTGGAGACACACACAACAATTGTCAAGGTGCTGGAGACACACAACAATTGTCAAGGTGCTGGAGACACACACAACAATTGTCAAGGTGCTTGAGACACACAACAATTGTCAAGGTGCTGGAGACACACACAACAATTGTCAAGGTGTTGGAGACACACAACAATTGTCAAGGTACTGGAGACACACACAACAATTGTCAAGGTGCTGGAGACACACACAACAATTGTCAAGGTGCTGGAGACACACACAACAATTGTCAAGTTGCTTGAGACACACACAACAATTGTCAAGGTGCTGGAGACACACAACAATTGTCAAGGTGCTGGAGACACACACAACAATAGTCAAGGTGCTGGAGACATACACACAACAATTGTCAAGGTGCTGGAGACACAACAATTGTCAAGGTGCTGGAGACACACAACAATTGTCAAGGTGCTGGAGACACACACAACAATTGTCAACGTGCTTGAGACACACACAACAATTGTCAAGGTGCTGGAGACATACACAACAATTGTCAAGGTGCTTGAGACACACACAACAATTGTCAAGGTGCTGGAGACACACACAACAATTGTCAAGGTGCTTGAGACACACACAATTGTCCAGGTGCTTGAGACACACACAACAATTGTCAAGGCGTTGGAGATATACACACAACAATTGTCAAGGTGCTGGAGACACACACAACAATTATCAAGGTGCTGGAGACACACAACAATTGTCAAGGTGCTGGAGACACACACACACAACAATTCATTGTGTATCATCACAGCGTCAAACTATTAATTTGTCAAATTATGTTTACAATAAAAGGATTTCCAGGAAATGTTTAATGACCACAAGCGCGTTTAAAACAAGATAAACAACACTGATTTCCATTCATTTGCTGTTTCATATCTCAAACCATGGTTTCCAACTATTCTTTGACTACCTCCATCTCATTATTGTGATTAACTTTCTCACAAATGTCATGCACCTTAGGTTTTAAATGAAACAAAAACGTATTATAACAATTTACAAAATAACTAGAACTGTTAGAATCACTTGATCAAATGTGACATGTTATAGAAGATTCTTTAAGAAAATATTGCTGTTTCGACCCTCTATTCAAGTACCCATAAGGTCATATTTTAATTCCCACTGACTTCTCAGAAAACTATGACAAGCAGAAAGAAAGGGTTTTTTTAAAAGTAATTTGTTATATCGACATGGGTACAATGTGTGAAGCCCATTTCTGGTGTCCTGTGCCGTGATATTGCTGGAATATTTCTAAAAGGGGTGTAAAACTAAACTCACTCACTCATTGTAACTACACAGACATGTTTAGAAGAATAAATAATACCCATTCGAATATACTATTCGTTCTCTAGTTCTTCTTTCATATGTCTATTGTTTTGTTTCATCCATGTATAGGGTTTCTTGTGTATGAAGGGAAATTAGAACCCCGTGGAATTATCATGGTAGATTACTCAGGTCACACTCTACCTAACATTATTGTAAACATTCATAAATTTTAAACATACTATATTAATTTTTGGATTTTGTTAAAAAGACAAGTGTACAACAGACAAAAATGTAATTTTCTGACTAAAGTTGATATTTTATACTTATCCTGACTCATGCTAATTATGCTTGTCTCCTTCCTCTTGCGAATGATAGTGGAACACTTGAAATCCCTTGAGGTTCCCTTTAAGAAAGCGGACGTAAAATCACTCACCCAAGAGTAGCGTCCCATTCCTCCCTTTGGCGCCCAAATGGTCACATGATTGGCCATATTTGTCACTCTCTCCGTGATTTAAGCCCGACACCCGGATTTACAGGGAAATCCAGAGTGTTATAAGAGGGGATGTTGGGAGGGCTAACCTCATGAGTCAGGATAAGTATAAAATATCAATTTTAGTCAGAAAATTACATATTTTTCCTTATCCTGACTCATGCTAATTATGCTTGCAGAATCCGTTGGAAATGGTGGTGGGACAGGCCACGTTCTGGATTCACTGGTTGTAGATTTACGTCCTGTATTACCCACCTTGGGAACTTATGACGGCACTGTTGAAGATTCTTTCAACTTCTCTGATGAGTCTGGGGGGGACCACAACTTGTCAGATTTCTCTGAAACAATATTCCATTAGTTATCTAATACAAGTCCATCTCTTGATGCGCGCATCAAGTGGAGATGCAACCCTTCTTCATATACGAATATGTCCTATACAGGTACAGGGTCTATCACTCATGCTAGTCTGTCCTAGACGTGTGCATGGACTTATAGCCATTGCTCTCCAGAGCGTTGGTTTTCACAAGTCATGTGATAAAAGGGGTGAGATTTACTCAGCGCCCTTTGTGGAACCGTTAGTTGTTGTGCTACAACAAGTGGCCCAAACTTGTGAATGCCTGAGATGTCTTCAGTGGCAATGTCTCTGAGGTAGTGGTTGGCAAACACTGTGTTCGATCTCCAAAAGCAGCCCTCCATTATAGTTGTAATCGAGCAGTTTCCATGCAGAGCAAGTGTTGACGCCAGGGCTCTGACTTCGTGTGGATTGGAAGCTCGTGGAGGCTCAAGACCTGCTGCTTTATAGGCCCTTAGTATAACGGCTCTCATCCAGACCGATATCGTTGTCCTAGAGACTTCCGTGGGCGTCTCAGTGGATAAGGGGATAAATAGGCGCTTGAATTTTCGTCTCCTTGTTTTGGTTCTTTGTAAGTAGACTTTAAGTGCTCTGACTGGGCATCAGGATAGATCTTGCGTATTCTGTGGCCCAAGGACTGTAGATAGTGCTGGGAAGTGGAACTGTCTGTCAGGCTGACCAGGCAGTTGGTTCTTGGCGATAAAATCCCATCTCAGTCCCAGATGTACGATGTCACGATGTCTTGATTCAAATCGTGTTCGTTCAAAGTCCAGAGCATGTATTTCTGACATCCTTGCAGCTGTTGCTAGTGCGATCAGGAACAGCGTTTTCTGAGTTAGTAGTTCAAAGGATGTCCGTTCTAGAGGCTCATAGGCATCACTGGTGAGATGTTGTAAAACTACGTTGAGGTCCCAGGCAGGAGCCTTAAATTTCTTTTGTTGGTCTTCCAACTTGAACGAGCATAGTAGTGCCAGAATCTCTGGTACTTTGGTCAGCTTGATACCCATTTTCATGGTGATAACTGTACTGAGGGCAGCTAAGTACATTGAAAGTGTTGAACCTTTTAAGTGTCTCGACTGTCGTAGATGACATAAGTATTCCGCCACTTGAGGATGTGTTGCTTTCCCCTGTAAACCCTTTCCTCTTTGCATATTGTTCAAATCTCTGCCACTTGTCGTCATACAAGTTGCGCGTTGATCTGCGTAGAGCTAGTGTAACTGCTTTCGCTGCTCTGGCGGAGTACCCTCTGGTCTTCAGGCAAGCTTTAATACGCTCCACGCGTGTAGCTGGAACAGTGTCGGGTTCCCATGAGCTTGCTTGGTGTGAGATGGACGAGTAGGTTCGACCACTCTGGTAGTTTCAGGGTTGGACTTCCGAATTCTTGTATGTGGATGGGAAACCATACCTTTGCTGGCCAGTAGGGCGCGACCAAAATCAGTTGCAACGTAGTCGTCTGCTTGATTTTCTGTAGTACTTGTGGTAGTAGTGCAGGAGGCGGAAACGCGTAAGAGTTTAGTCCTTCCCATGAGATGCTTAGAGCATCTGTTGCCCATGCCTGAGGATCTGGAATCGGTGAGACGAACGTTGGTAGCTGTTTGTTGAACTTTGTTGCATACAGGTCTATTAGTGGGGATCCTTAAGTCTGTCTGATGAACTGGAAAGCTTCTGGATGCAACGTCCATTCCGTCTGGGATGGTTGTGGTGGACGAGATAGGGCGTCTGCTATGACATTCTTTGCTCCCGGAATGTGGCATGCCTTCATGGAGATGTTCAGGTCATCGACTATGCTGAACAGGAGAAAGCTGAGTTCCCAGTCATCCCGGTTATCTGAGCGCAATCACTCGATTTAGACATGACTTGTGAATACCTACGTACCCAGTCCTTAGCACGTGTATGGATGGAAAAAAGGTTATTTCAAACAAAATTTAAATTTACACAATACTCACAGCAAGAGCTGAAAGAACATGAAACAGTGCAATTAGGACATAATAAATGCGGATCAGCCACAGACACTTGGTACCTACAATGAATACAAGATTTCATCAATTGTAAACATGAAGAAAACACATGTCAAACAACGGATAACTTTAGAACAAATTTCAAACCGCAATGTAGAATATAATCCTAAACACCGTATACAGCAATAATTTTGATGTAAGGTCCGAAAATATAAAAGGATATGTGCCGTATAGGGACCCAGGTGCTCTCACAACTGTCCTCAAGGGCAAAGATGGAGAGAGAGTGACAAATATGGCCGCTACTCTTGGGTGAGTGATTTTACGTCCGCTTTGTTAAAGGGAACTTCAAGGGATTTCAAGTGTTCCACTATCATTCGCAAGAGGAAGGAGACAAGCATAATTAGCATGAGTCAGGATAAGGAAAAATTCAAGAAATATGTAACATACATATGCCAAAAACACATTAACAGACTACAGCAGTAAAAAATAGAAATGTGTAAATGTACCCGTAAACCCTTATGTAGGAATACATTTTCAACAGGAATATTGTACTTGATTGCACGTCAAGGATAGAGCTGAACATGTAGAAGCTGACCAATCCGAATGTCCTGATGATGACACTATTTCATTGTTTATAATCTTAACTAAATTCCATTTTTCTTCCACTATTACTTCACCATTACAGCATAAAGCAGCTTAGTAACAATACCGTGTCTGTGGAGCTGCTGGGTTTTATGGTACCGATGAACACTAACAGCCAGGCTCCCACTAAACACAGAAGAAGCTGTCACCGAATACTTCCAGGGTCACCGATTCCAGAGGACATCTGAAGCAAGTGTTTGCTGAAATGTACAAACAAACAAATCACGTACAATTACACAAAACTGACAATATCACTACAGGGTGTGGAGAGGGTTGTTAACATAACCCTCACATTGACAATATCACTAAAGGATGTGGAAAGAGTTGTTAACATAACTGTCACACTGACAATATCACTACAGAATGTGGGCAGGATTGTTAACATAACCTTCGCACTGACAATATCACTCCAGGATGTGGGCAGGGTTGTTAACATAACTGTCACACTGACAATATCACTACAGGATGTGGAGAGGGTTGTTAACATAACCATCTCACTGACAATATCACTACAGGATGTGGGGAGGGTTGTTAACATAACCATCTCACTGACAATATCACTACAGGATGTGGGGAGGGTTGTTAACATAACCATCACACTGACAATATCACTACAGGATGTGGGAAGGGTTGTTAACATAACTGTCACACTGACAATATCACTAGAGGATGTGGAGAGGGTTGTTAACATAACCTTCACACTGACAATATCACTACAGAATGTGGAGAGGGTTGTTAACATAACCATCTCACTGACAATATCACTACAGGATGTGGGGAGGGTTGTTAACATAACCATCACACTGACAATATCACTACAGGATGTGGAGAGGGTTGTTAACATAACCATCTCACTGACAATATCACTACAGGATGTGGGGAGGGTTGTTAACATAACCATCACACTGACAATATCACTACAGGATGTGGGGAGGGTTGTTAACATAACCATTTCACTGACAATATCACTACAGGATGTGGAGAGGGTTGTTAACATAACTGTCACACTGACAATATCACTACAGGATGTGGGGAGGGTTGTTAACATAACTGTCACACTGACAATATCACTACAGGATGTGGAGAGGGTTGTTAACATAACCATCTCACTGACAATATCACTACAGGATGTGGGGAGGGTTGTTAACATAACCATCTCACTGACAATATCACTACAGGATGTGGGGAGGGTTGTTAACATAACCATCTCACTGACAATATCACTACAGGATGTGGGGAGGGTTGTTAACATAACTGTCACACTGACAATATCACTACAGGATGTGGGGAGGGTTGTTAACATAACCCTCACACTGACAATATCACTACAGGATGTGGGGAGGGTTGTTAACATAACCATCACACTGACAATATCACTACAGGATGTGGGGAGGGTTGTTAACATAACCATCACACTGACAATATCACTACAGGATGTGGGGAGGGTTGTTAACATAACCATCTCACTGACAATATCACTACAGGATGTGGGGAGGGTTGTTAACATAACTGTCACACTGACAATATCACTACAGGATGTGGGGAGGGTTGTTAACATAACCATCACACTGACAATATCACTGCAGGATGCAGGGAGGGTTGTTAACATAACCATCACACTGACAAATCACTACAGGATGTGGAGAGGGTTGTTAACATAACTGTCACACTCACAATATCACTACAGGATGTGGAGAGGGTTGTTAACATAACCATCACAGTGACAATATCACTACAGGATGTGGGGAGGGTTGTTAACATAACTGTCACACTGACAATATCATTACAGGATGTGGGGAGGGTTGTTAACATAACCCTCACACTGACAATATCACTACAGGATGTGGAGAGGGTTGTTAACATAACCCTCACACTGACAATATCACTACAGGATGTGGGGAGGGTTGTTAACATAACCATCACACTGACAATATCACTACAGGATGTGGGGAGGGTTGTTAACATAACCATCACACTGACAATATACCTTCACACATCAAATAACATGCTATTATCTCTCTGTGTGAATATGACAAAGACATATCAAAGAATGTGGTGCTTGTACTGCACGGACAAACGTTGTGCCTATAGTTACATAAATCTAATCACAGAAAATGTAAACCAATACACAGGGAATGATACCTGAAGTAAGTGACAGTATATCCTACAATTCTGCACATCTTCCATGTTTAACAGAATGTGGCTAATAACGAACCTCCAGTATTCCTCAGAAGCAGAGACATTTTGAGTGGTGACATCAGAAGACAAGGTCGTCGTTTCCACATGCGATAACCCCGTACCATTGACAAGAAAGGATGAATTTGTTTGACTGTCCACGCCAACACACAGGTCCGTGTTCCATTCGTTGGTGCACAGGGTCCATGGAAGGAATTCACTGAATGTACTAAAGATGTAGTAGAGGCTCCAGGCAAGGATGACGCTGTAGTATATGCTGACGATACTTCTGATGAAAACCATGCCGTATCCTATGCCTGGAACAGAACAAAATGTTTATATGATAGCAAAACATAATATTTCTTTCTATACATATAGACATGGAAAAAGTATGGCAACATCAATAATTTGAAAGCCCCATATAGCAGTATATCATTCATAAACTCCAAGAAAACTTACCCCATGATACCCATGAAGATCTGGACCTAGATTTCCGAAGCTCCCTTAGTGCCAAGATAGTCATAAGTGCCATACATTAACATTAACTTACGACTATCTTAGCGCTAAGACAGCTTGGTTGACACATGTCATTGCATTCCACTAGCATCGATCGATGCTCATGCTGTTGATCACTGGATTGCCTGTCCAGAGTTGATTATTCACTGACTGTCGCCATATAGCTGGAATACTGCTGAGTGCGGCGTTAAACAACAAACCAACCAACCAACCAACTCACCCCATGAATGCTATGAGCGACAAAATAATCAGAGTGCACATAAAAATACTTAAAATGTATGCCGACGACTCTCAGATCTATATGGGATTCAATACAAAGGTTGCTGCTTCTGTTACAGCTCTACGTGACTCCATAACTGCATGTGTTGACAAGAAAAGGACCTGGATGACAACTCACTTCCTACGACTTAATGGTGATACGTCAGAGCTTGTTATACGTGGATCGAAATCTACACTGCCATCATTCCAATACCAGCCACTGAAAGTAGGTGAGAGCGATATCAGGCCAAGTTCACACGCTATAAAAACCTTGGTGTTATTTTCGAGTCTTCTCTGGCTCTTGAGCGTCACTCCGATGCTGTATGCAGGACAGCCTACTTTCATATAAGAAACAGCAGCCTCATCAAACGGTACACTGGTGAGAAAGCAGTTAAGACTCTCATCCATGCTTTTGTGACATCAAGCTTAGACTATTGCAATAGTCCCCTTTACGGATCATCAGCGAAAGCACTAGTCAAATTACAGAGCGTCAGAACTGTGCTACTCGCCTCATTACTGGGACCAAACGCAGAACACATCACTCCAGTACTGAAGGCTCAATGTTTAAGATTCTCATCTTTGTGTTCAACTCTCTCAACCATCTGGCTCCAGTATAGATCAGTGACTTGATGAACCCCAGAAGAACACTGACACCCAAATCCTCGTGAGTGCTAGATGAGGTGAGGTGAGGTGAAATTGGGTTTAACGTCGTGCTTGAGAATATTTCGCTCATATGATGACGTGCATGCGTGTGTATGTGTCTGTGCGGCTGCTTGTACTAGCCCAGACTTAAGCTGGTTTTATAGTGCTAGCCCACTGAGATACCATGCCGCAGTGAAGCATGAATACCCCACTCAGACACATTATACTGACTCCGAGCCGACCAGTCCTTGTTGTACCTATTAATGCCGAGCGCCAGGCAGGCACCAACAAGTACCATATTTTAACGTCTTTTGGTATGATGCGGTCGTGAGTGCTAGACATTCCACTGACGAGAAAGAAGAATTGTTTTTCTAAAGCAGGACCAAGTCTGTGGAATAACTTGCCACCAAACATTCAGAACATCAAAGTCCTTGAACTATTCAAGCGTGTCTTGAAAACTCACATTTTTGACAGCTCCTTTGCCTTGAAGCACCTCTGAGCAAAGATGTTGGAAAAGGCGCTATATAAATACTAACTTTATCGTTACTATTATTATGACATCATACAGACACAATTTTTACAATCTTGACTAATTAACGTCATACAACCAAAGTTATCAGAATCTTGACTAATGTTAACATCATATGACGACAGTTATCAGAATCTTGACTTGTTAACATCATACGACAGTTATCAGAATCTTGACTTGTTAACATCATACGATGACAGTTATCAGAATCTTGACTTGTTAACATCATACGACGAGTTATCAGAATCTTGACTTGTTAACATCATACGACAGTTATCAGAATCTTGACTTGTTAACATCAAGCGACCAGTTATGAGAATCTTGACTTGTCAACATCATACAACCAGTTATCAGAATCTTGACTTGTTAACATCATACAACGACAGTTATCAGAATCTTGACTTAACATCATACAACCACAGTTATCAGATTCTTGACTTGTTAACATATGACCAGTTATCAGAATCTTGACTTGTTAACATCATATGACCACAGGAATTAGCACTTCAAACTGAATAAATGTTTTGACATGTTTGTTTCTCTTAATAAACTAGTTTTTCTTTCGTTTTTCCTTGGCGGTAAGTTTATCCAGATACTTATCCAACTAAATTGAGGTTTGGATAAGTTCCTTTGCTAAGTTGGTTAACGATAATATATTTATACTACGAAAAATATAGGGTGTCGCGATACTTGTCCCATGTGTATATAAACGACAAATGACTTTCCATTATCACAAACAACCACTGTTAGATTCCCACTTCAGTGTCACTATCAACTGGTGATGATATCAGGAGTTCATGAAAGGTGAATATGTCCCAGTAAAACACAAATATTATGGATGACAACTTCTTCTTTATTGTATATCACAACGTTTCTGGGCTATTCCTTGCCCCTTCGTCAGGTGAATTATGAAGGGGCAAGGAATAGCCCAGAAACGTTGTGATATACAATAATGAAGAAGTTGTCATCCATAACATTTGCGTTTTACTTGAACACCAACTTCTAAATGCCTCTCAAGAACCTGAATATGTCCTGCCCAACCGCTGGCATCCATCACAAATACATGTTATGGGAAGTGAGTCAGTGAGTGAGTGAGTTTAGTTTTACGCCGAACTCAGCAATATCCCAGCTATATGGTGGCGGTCTGTAAATAATCGAGTCTGGACCAGACAATCCAGTGATCAACAGCATGAGCATATTATCTGCGCAATTGGGAACCGATGACATGTGTCAACCAAGTCAGCGAAACTGACCACCTGATCCTGTTAGTCGCCTCTTACGACAAGCATAGTCGCCTTTTATGGCAAGCACATGGGTTGCTGACGACCTATTCTACCCCAGATGTTCACGGGTCTTATGGTAAGTGAAATAAAATCACACCATGACATCATTTTACTTTTTTGGTCACACAAGCCTGTTAGTTATGACTGAGTGAGCAAGTTGGGCTTAAAGCCGTGTGGACAGGACTGAATTTCCAATTGGAAAGCAGCGTTTCAGCATCAGTGAAATGAAGCCTTAAGTGATGCTGCCTTCAAAACTTTCCATACAACTGGGGAAATAACAATAGTCCATTTATCATGTGCATTGCTCCATGCACAATGCATGCTTGAAGCGCCCAAACAAAATATTATTACCCCTGATAACCCAAGCTGTCTGTAAAGCGCTACGGGTTATAGTCGCATGACTTTATCCCACCGGGTACCCACTTTCTGCTGGGTGAACAGAGGCAATTTTGAACAAACTCACTTGCCTAGGGACTGAGACCACATGTGTCACATGTGCTTCATTGTGGGGCAGGAATGAAGTCCTAGAAACTCTCAGGAGTCAAGCTGCCAAACACAGTCACCCATCCAAGGACTGGACTCTGCGACGAACATTGCTTAACTTCCCCTGATTTGTGACCTGAGCTCTATGCACAGGACCACATACCACAAGTATGTAAAAAACATAATCGGCAATGCCGTAATTACTGTGGCACACGTGCCGCTTGCTAGTTGTGACACACCAGCTTGACTTCTACAACTAAGCCAACATACCGTTTATCAGTACAATAAGAAACATGTGACTTTGTAGTTCCAGACATGGCCGTGACTTACCTTGAAACAAAGGGCAGACAATCCACCTACGTCCAGGACCACGGCCGGAGAACTGACAGAAGAGCACGTCCAACAGGGTGGCAGGCAATGCACACACAAACATGGCCAACAAGTATGGGATGAGAAACGTACCTGGAAGGATGCCACAAGAGTAAGGTACATCAGCCCTGACAGTTTCATTCTAACAGTTACTGGACAATACTCTATTAAAACATATGTTATTAACGTACACAATATAATGACAATGTATACTTATTGAAACCTAGTACAAACACCGATGTTGAAGTTGTAGGGATATACATTACTACGTCATGTTTTTACAGGTTCTACACAATATAATGACAATACGTACATACTTATTGAAACCTCAGTACAAACACCGATGTTGAAGATGAAGGTATATACATTACTACGTCATGTTTTTACAGGTTCTACACAATATAATGACAATACGTACATACTTATTGAAGCCTAATACAAACACTGATGATGAAGTTGTAGGGAAACACATTATTAAACTGTTTGAGAGGCATACTAGGAGTTGTAAGCAATAGGAATGACAAGTCTTTATGGATGATCAACTTCTTTATTGTACAATAGCAACGTTTCAATATAGATACTTATACCGTTTTCAAACTCCCCCCATACTCGTAAAGACTTGTCATCCCTATACATGACTACTTCAAGGTTTTAGAGGTTCTACACAAATGCAAAATATGACTAAAGGAACATACAGGGACAAAACTTTTACTTTGAGACAGTGTTTTTTAATAAATGAAAATGCTTACCACCTCCACTTTGAAAATAGACGTAGGGAAATCTCCATATGGTGGATAGTCCAAGCACTGAGCCAGCGAGATTGATGGAATACACCACCCTGTCGAAACACGTCACCCAGGTTCCCATCCTTGCTCAAACCAACACCACTGATGAGGACTGATGTGACATAATTCGATTCAGAGTTTGCAGGAAAGTAGCACCTTGTGACAGACCCAGCAGTATCAGAAGCCTATATTGTGGTTGTCAGACGTTTTTGATTCTGAGAGGAAATAGAATATTATTAAAAATGTGATACCATTGCATAAACACAAATATATTACTAATTTCTGCTCTCTTTCTTCAATGTTAGCAGACACATGCATATATTTTCTAAATCATTTCTATATGTAGCCACTGCCGCAGGAGTATTGTGCGACATGTCTGATCATATGTCCAAGTGAGCTAGAGGGCAAATCCGTTCCACATTTTAAAGGGCCACCGATCCAGAGCAATTTCCGTGGACTGGTTGTTGCTTTTGTTATTGTTTTACTCCAGTGAGTGAGTGAGTGAGTGAGTGAGTGAGTGAGTGAGTGAGTGAGTGAGTGAGTGAGTGAGTGAGTGAGTGAGTGAGTGAGTGAGTGAGTGAGTGAGTGAGTGAGTGGGTGGGTGGGTGGGTGGGTGGGTGGGTGGGTGAGTGAGTGAGTGAGTGAGTGAGTGAGTGAGTATGGTTTTACGCCGCTTTGATGTAAGATTTTGATTTCATAGTAATATTGACTTTATAAAAATGTTAACGCAAATGGATGTAGAATTTGATTTAAGAAACAGTTTGACCTTGAATTTGGTGAGAAGCCTGATATTATAGCATTGTTTTGAAAGTAAGGCTAACTAAGTACAAGGGGAGTCTTGGTGAGAGTAGTGAGCCTTGGTTCACTACTAGTCAATCTGAATGTTGTATTAAATGGCATTTTTTTGATAACAAATGAAAACATTTTAAGTTTAACCATCTGCCAGTGGTAAAAAATGTTAGGACTGAAATAAAGAAGTCTATGTACGTCTTTTTATCATCCAAAACTGTGTTCCACAGGAGATATCGCTTGTGTGAGATCAAACGATATCTCCTAGGAGATATCGTTTTGACAGTAGATTTTGTACAATGCCCTGACAATGCTATGACGTCATTTACTTGATGACGTCACAATGTTATGACATCGCTGCACTGCAAGTCTAATGGCAGTACCATGTTCAGAGATGTACATTTTTCATTGAAAATTAATAAAGAGTGATTTTGGATGATAAATAGAATCTCACCCTCGTGTCTTCTGATATCAAATATATCAACACTCGTTGATAAAGTAAAAATATCCTCGGCAAGCCTCGGATATTTGTAACTTTATCAACTCGTGTTGATATAATTGATATCAGAAGACACTTGGGTGAGATTCTCTATATATTTTGTCTTATAATCCTAATTAGTTTATTATCATATTTGTATGCATTTTGAAACTTCATAAAATGCACACGATCTGCTTATACTTAGTGACTTTATAACATGATTGTAATATCTAGACATTTTATAGATTGCCAACGTGTAACATATTTCACACACACGCCCTGAGTGCGACCTAGTGTATCCCAGATAGCATTCGGACGTTGGCCCAACATTGGCAATGTTGGCAAAACCATTGCCAACGTTGGACCAACGTCTGAATGCTATCTGGGATGCTGTCTGTCTCATTACACTTCACGGCAAAAACATGATTCTGTTGAATGCCAGAACAAATAAATAAAAAGAATGTAAATATTAAAATTAAAACAGACTAAAGTTATAGCAACAATACCAGGCTATTACCTTGTTCGGGAAATGTATCCATCAATATCCACATAAAGGAATGAGATGCCATTCATGTGCAGCTGACAAAGTATCCTGTTCCATGTCATGTGTCTTTTAACAGTCTAATATGCGAAAAAGTGATCTATCGTTTCAGGTTTTTCACATTGGTGCATAGTCCCATTGGTCACCCAAGATAGCACACCTGACAACTTATTGCATGATGTCCTCCATTCTTTAAAAAAGTAATTTAGTTCGCCAGTAATGAGCAATCAATCAATGTATTGGCGGTTAATCCTTTGAAGGAAGGACGTTGTTTTTACAAAGAGACTTGGGTGTATTCAGTATAGATTAGTAAATCTACATACATAAACACTACCTTTTGACAACTCAGTTGTGCAGGATAAAAGCAATTAACCAATCAGCATGTTATCGGTTAATCCTTTGATCGATGTTTGTTTTGTAACTCTGCTGATAATTCCTCTTGATTTATAATGATGAGTATTTACTCCAGACACAAGAAATGCCAAATGGGAACCTTTGTCGGGTAATCTGAGTGGTGTTATTACTAATTATACCTGTTATAAATTAATTAACTGACCATCAAGTGAATGATGACAAATAAGATGTGCAGGGGTGCGACACACACACCACCCCCACCCCCCTTTGTGTTGAAAGTTTGTTAAATGACCATTGAAACTCGGGTGAAAATGAAGTGTGCGCCCCTCCTTTTCTCAATAATGTGCACCCCCCCTTTCTCAAAAAGCTGTATCTGCCCCCATCCAAACATTTGAAAATCTGAAAAAGCCTACACTGCTGGGATACTTTATTACAATCAGACAAGAACTACCAGGGACATTTTCAAATAATGGCATCTGATGGGCATCCACCCTTCCTAATGTCCCACTGATTAGGTTGATGAAATTCTGCCAAGGTGGACAGTAGCCCAGTCCCCGTGTCCGTCACGGTCGAGGGAGCAGAGGCTGACCAGTTTGCAGCTAGGTTTTGTAATTAGACTGTTGGCTGGAAACAATAATCGCTCTGGATCAGTGGCCCTTTAAGTCTCAAACAAATGCTGTTTGTATTCATCTTTTTGTGCAAAGGATAAACCATAAGCCATTTGTTTTGTCCTGGAATAGAATGATGTATGGATATACTTTATAACATCCATTTGGGTAGAAACAGACCATTGTTATTGTGGCCAGAGAAATTGTGTCATTAATCATAAAGAAATCTGTAGTACTACTCTTCATTCGTTCCATTGGGAGTCTCGTTAAAAGATAAATGTATCAATAAAAGTAAATATGATGTAATCGAGTATTGAAGAACTTAAGTTGTGTTTACAGGGAGAGACTGGTGCTGGTTGAACCTGCTCGATGCCATTTGTACAAACATGTCCTTTTGAAACAACATGGTAGAGGAACTGAAATTATTACAGAAACAAACGACACCATTTAGCCCGAAAAAATGCAACATTTCCAAATATAGTAAACTTCCAAAACATGTGCACCATTTTTACAACTCTACAGTCAATAAATACTGTCTTCACTACAATCAAACTTGCCTCCATTCAACCATTTTTTTTTTCATTTGGAGCATATAGCATGACCTGATTTAAAATCCCCTTGCAAAGAACTGGTGAAAACCTTAAAAATTATTGCTTAATAAGTTGGACAAGGATCAAATCTCTAGGGATCTATGTAATTACCTACTAAATACCCAGTTTATCGATGGAGTAATGTAGTTTTGGGAATTGGTTGAAATCTCATAATTGATTATTAGTTCTTTGCAACCGATCAATCATCCTTTAAAGATCGTTATTGTGGTTGTCTCTTTCTTTGTTTTTTTTAGTAACTGCGCAAACTCTGCAAATGTCACATCCAACTCAGAAAGATACAACTTGCTACCTTAAACTGATGACTAATATATCATGAACGTAACCTTCGTTCAGGGTTTTACACAGACTTTTAAAAATGTGAGTCATGGTGACTCACAATATTTATTTTTGGGAGTCATTTTCAATATTTAGGAGTCATGAAATCTTAATGTTAATCATTCTCAGTATGTAACTGTATATGTCACACCACCAAATGAAACTACAGCATTGCTCAATTCAAACAGCCAGGATTACTGTCTCCTCTGAGTTCTCTGGAACAATCTGACAGCTCTGTAAAAGTCATACTATCATCGAACAATATCTTTTTTTGCTTATCAAATCAATTTTATTGAACTGAATTGCTCAGGGCCACCCATTAAACTTACGTCAAACTTGACTCGTATGATAATATTTTGAGAGTCGTTTACAAAATTGTTGCGTAAATACACAGGAATCACGCGTCATGTAAAACCCTGCTTTGTTTAAAGTAATATATATACATATGTCACATGACAAAGTAATCTTACATATCTGAAGATTAAAACATTTTCAATTCAATGATCATACTCTAAGTAACATGCTGCAACATGCTTTCTTGTTTAATAATTCAATATGAACATTACATTAAATGTTAAATTTCATAGATTTTTAAAATATGTTTTGAGAAATGTTTATTCACTGTAACATTTCTCCATGATGCCAAAAAGCTTTGAAAGTTCAAAAAAGGAATATTTCTCATTCTAACTGACTTTTAACATTGATAAACAATAATAGGAAGCATGACACATTAGTCTGAGGAACAAATTGCAGAACAATGAGAATAAGGATTTCAACTTAACCCTGTACATGAATAAAACATCATATCACATCACTTGTATTAACAGTGTACCAGCTTGATCAGTTTTACTACAGTCCGTTTGGCTCAAAAGCGGAACGATGAATTGCAATCTAACTCAAAAACTTATAAACATAACATACTCAATGAAACGCTGATCATAATCAAAACATCATACCCACTCTGTGAGGTTTTTGCAGAATTTTTGTCCTAAAAATAATAAAGTTGTTTAACAAACTATCATTAAAATATTGACACAGTGTGACTGTTTGTTACGAGGGAGGAGTGCAGAGAAAGGGACAGCCAGGTGTTCGAGAAGCACGTTCACAGACAAAGTTATTTATTCATTAACCTGTGCTGTGCCGTCTCCATCCGTTCTCGAACACCTGGCTGTCCCTTTCTCTGCACTCCTCCCTCATAACAAATAGTGAACTGTGTCAATATTTTAATGATAGTTTGTTAAACAACTTTATTATTTTTAGGCCAAAAATTCTGCAAAAACCTCAGTTTTCGAGTAAGACTGCAATTCATCAGTCCGCTTTTGAGTCAAACGGACTATAATCAGTGTTTGCCATGACACAGAAAACATGCGTACTGACGCACAATTATCTGAAATATGCAGTGAATTTAGAAGCTTGCGTCATTGTTGATGCAATGCTACTGGGCCCTTAGTTCAGATAATCTAAACTTGTAAACTAGATGTTTGCCAGTTAACTGCTCAGTGCTGATTAAATACCTCACCTGCCTCACCTTGTCTTTTGTCCTTATTAAACAATCACAGTTGATGGAAAAAGTTCCTTACATACGGGTCCCACGCCTATTTTTGTGATGAGCAAACACTATAGTTAAGTCTATAGATTCTAGTGTATAGTTAAAAATTAGGTAGGGGGTACATAAGGAACTCTTACCCAGTTGATGTCTTGATGAAAGTTCCAAACTGAAGTTGACTCCCAAAATCATGTCCATGACTCCCTCTCATATGTAACCAGGGAGTTATGATGACTCCTAATTATTTTTGCCTAGGGCAAACACTGACTAATAGCAACTAGTTATCAGTATAAGTTTATAGAATGGGTTTCAAGCATTTTAATGAAAAGGTGGTAGTTGACCTTTCATAATTTAAGTTAGTTTTTGCTGAGGTCTGTCCCCACCCTTCCAGTGCTAGTTTTTAACACAGGTCAAATGTTCCGCTTGAATGACTGACCCTATTGTTAGCTTTGCATGTTTTGGGGCCTGTCTGACTTGCACCCTGTTCACAACACTGACGAGTTATGACCGTCGGCAGCAACGAAATGCATTTAGGAGATTTCTGTAGTCAGTGAAATAGTCATATGACAGTCAATAGTGTACATATAATGTATGTTCTAAGATGCCTAGCGGTCAGAACAATAAATAAAAAATACATTATCAGACAATTAAGGTATATTTCTTTGATGACGTAACAATTGAATGACGTTATCCCGTCACTGCGCCATTCTAGTGTGCCCCCTCGTAATCGAACCATTTTACATTACGTCACCATGTAAGTGACGTCACAATGCATGTCAGTTGTCATCGCCTCGTACGGCCTCCTACAGTAAACTACTCCATTGCACCTCGTTTCTTAGTTTGCAGTTGCTTCACGCAGCTAACATCACTGGTGGAAACATTACGTTTATGTTTTACGACGGTTAAAATGTGTCAATTCGACTCACAAGTTTTCAGCGACACGGTAACGTTCGCAATGTTTACATTCCCACAATGCAATCATAGAATGTTGCTTGACTACTCAGCTTCATCTGGATGTACTGATCTAAATTTACGTTGATAGTAGAAATGCGACGTTCATATTGCCCCATATGGTTTACGTATGATATACAGTGTATAGCACTCAGTAAATGTATCCTGATTCACACCCGGAGCTGTGGTGCAAATTAATTCTTCAACAACAACCATCCCTGCTACAGACAGATGCGCATATATACTTTCCGGAAAATCTCTGCATTGCAGGTTTTGGTAATTTCCCTGTCTGGTTGCTAAGTAACACTGGTAACAACTACCGACATCAGCTGAACGAACTGATAGTGCTTCCGCTATGTAAATTTAATAACACAGACAAATCAATCTTGCAAAAATATCTTCATGCCAAAACGTGTTTGGGGTGTTTGTGTTTGATTTATAAGAAAACGTAATTGATTGCTTGGTCGTTTGGCGTAATTTGTCTCAGAGTGCAACTGCAAGGCATCGTTTCTAAAGACGTTTTCACACCGACTCAAATCGCATATTAAAAATCATTCAGACCGAATACATACCTACTGACATCTGTTAACACATTCCGTGTGGAACACTGCCACGCTTTCACATTGATGTGTATTCTCAGATCTTTGACTACGTCCTCTTTAGCCTCATATTCTGTCAAAACACATAAGATACCGAAACACTTCCGCCTGAATTTACACAAAATGGCGACAAAACTGTTAAAAAACCGGGCCGGACCGTATGGGTTATACTAAAAATGGATTGCCGAATATTACAACGAAACGTAAGCATCACAGTCCCAGCGTCCACAAATGCATAATTTTTCCCACGTTTGAATCACACTGTATATCAAACAATGCAGTAAAGTGATAATTTGACTACAAACCGAATGTCCAGGTAGCAGAGCAAGTGTCTTGATGCAGGGTGTTTTCTTTAATTTGTGTATGGGAGAAGGTATCTCACTTCTCTCAGCTAATGACTCGTGACTTCCTGGACAGGAAGTGACAGTGTTTCGTCTTCTTTTCTTTCCACAAATAACGTATTGGGGTTCCCGGATTAACCTTTATGGCTTCTTGTTGAAACATCACAGAGTGTTTATATTATTTGGAAGTGAATATTGGTAGATGTTATTGGGACTGACACGACCTGTTTCAATGTAGGGTAAAGTTCTTCTGTTAAAGTTACTAATTTTTCAAATAAAAAGTAATATGCTTTCGATGACATGACACCACTCCATATTTTACAATGGAATGCAAATAGCTGAATCAAAACGGCCAACTTACAGCCGACTGGATCGAACAAAATAACCTAATACTCCTAAATAACACCCTAGCTAGGTACGATTGTGAGTAACTAACTATGTCTGTTATCAATATTACAAACAGCACCCGGACCTCGCTCTATGTATTCAGTGGGAAGTACATGAGGATACGTTATGCAGCCATCACTTTCCTATCTATGTATAACAGTAGGCAACATAAATAAGAGAGTAATCAACAAGGACCAAAATAATACAACAAAGTCGACTGGATAAAATTCCAACACTTGTGTAACCAGGTAAACCAATTGAACTAGAAAACTAGAAAACAAATACCCAGAAATCTTTTGTCCAAACCTAACAAATTGCATAATTAATATAGCTAAAGAATCCATTCCCTTTAAAACACCTAAAGCAGATAAACCCTCAGGGCCTTGGTGTACAGAGGAAAATAACAGATTAGGGAAAAGCGCAAAAGGACATTTAATAAAGCTAAACGGGACTACTCCTACATTGATACAGCACATCAAATAAACCCAAAGTACAAAATCTAGTTCAAACCACCGAAGCCTAAACACTAGCAGAACTTCTGCGCTGAGCTGAATCACACCAAACCTCACAATATAAAAAAACAAAAAAAATGTCCAGAAGAGAAAGCAAATAATATATTAAATCATTTCTCGTTTGTTAGTAGCAACAGTAACTTCAGTAAAACATTAAAATTAAAATAGAATAAACCAAACACACTAAAACATGAAACTAAGTTTTCTAAATTACCTACGGACGACACCCCCAAAATAAACCAACTATGTATAATGGAAGAACTGTTTCATGTTCTTAATAACCGCAGAAAGGTAAGGGCTTGATCTCACCTCTTACCAAATGATAAAGCATCCTCCCCAAAAACTTAAAACCCTTAAGGGCCCGTGAAGATCCGGGGTAGAATAGGTCTTCAGCAACCCATGCTTGCCACAAAAGGCGACTATGCTTGTCGTAAGAGGCTACTAATAGGATCGGGTGGTCAGGCTCGCTGACTAGGTTGACACATGTCATCCGTTTCCAATTGCGCAGATCGATGCTCATGCTGTTGATCACTGGATTGTCTGGTCCAGACTCGATTATTTACAGACTGCCGCCATATAGCTGGAATATTGCTGAGTGCGGCGTAAAACTAAACTCACTCACTCACTAAAACCCTTAAGTTATATACTTTATTTACCGACAAACAGGTCACAAAGAACTTAAGTCCCACCTTCATAAAATATAAAAACACCAAAACGGGCAAATGCACACACTCCAACCTAAATTACCAACCTAACTACTTCCTCTCCCCTTACACCTTCTGGCATATTTCAAAATTCAAAATTCACACAAAAGTTAATTATGCAACCCTAACGCCCCCTACAGGTTGCCTATCTTTCGGTCATAGTCACCCCTCTTTCCGTCAAGCATAAAACGTCCTGGCGGGCCCGTGTGCAAAATACGCATCACGTCGGAAAGCGCACATAAAATCTCCAAAATCATCATCTGGAATGGCAGACCAAGGTCTACAGGTCCGAGTACCTCAACAACGTTTAGGAAGTATTATGACAAGATTTTTACTGATCCGTCGTATACATTTTCGCTGTTATGTAACAGACAGGCTGTTTGTTATCTGTTTTAGAAATGAATCTGACTGGTGTCTGATTTTTGCTCCAATCCCTGTGAATATATGTGATTTGTTTTAACTAAAATCCTTTTCCTAAGCTGCGTGTTTTCAGGATTTTTTTAAGCCCTTTGCTTTCAACATCTCACGTGATCACAATCTACATCGTGATTGGGTGAAATATACTGGTATCACGTGCCTTCCAAATGAACACCCACCCTATGCGGGCTTTCAAACACTTTAACACTGGTTTTGCTTCGCTATCTCACGTGATCCCTCCTACTCGTGAATATTTCACATAATCTAGATCAACCTTCAATCTCCAGGTAAGCAGATGCTTGGTTACATAGCCTAAATTAGCGTAGTCACTGGTGTAAATCACAGGATAGGCCTATTCTGATTATTCCTATGTTGTGTTTCTGTACAATATCCACATGGATAGAAGCATCTAGTCCGCCATGAGAGAGACTTTCTGTCTACAATGTGTATGCCACATGTGTATTTCGATGGGCGTTCGTGCTGTAAGATGGGTTAAAGGCATACCATAAGTCGAGAGGCTATTCAGGCATGACGAGCCATTTCAAGTGTTCGTGGAAAGATATGTCTGCTTGAAAAAAAACGTAATTCAGTCATTTAAATGCGACATTTTGAAAGAGTCGGGTCCCACGCCCGGCGATGTCACCAGCATTATTTGTGTTGACAGGGGAGAGACCACGAAGTTCTTGCACACTTTCAAATGCAGCATGATTGCAAATTCATACATGCTAATATCATTCAGCGGACCACTTTGACACATTTATTAAAATGAGCAATCAGGGCCTGCCGTACCCGAAACACGAACCACTCGATAGTATTACCACCACCCTAGAGTATTACAAAGGGCTGTTTGTGTTATCTGCCACTAGTTCACCGAGTTCAAACTGGATCATGTACAGCTCATGTACACTTTGTATGGGGAATGCATCAGTAATTGAGGTTGTTGCAGTGCTTCGTGACTGTAGCATGAAACGGGAGTGTCATTATGACATCTTGTGAGCCTTACACTCGTCTTCCTATTCATCCCAAACAATCACACTGTGTAAGCTATTTCCAGTAGGTTGTACCAGGGATACTCTACAACCTTATATAGTCTCCCTGGTTGTACAGAGTACTTGTGCTATATTAATATGCAATCATTTTGAATATGGCGTCACTACAACACTTCCTGTTCAACAGGTTGTGTGCAGCTCCATGTACTGCCACCCTCCATATATGTGTTGACGGAGTTACGACACAGAAACATGACAACCATCTGGACAATGGCAGCTGTGGTCAGTCTCTTGGTGATGATCTTGTGTGTGGGACTGGTCACAAGCTCTGTGGTGCCTGGCCCTGTGGAAGTTGCACAGGACAGAGATCGAGGTGAGCCGAATGATCAGTAAATAGACGTCATTATTTAGAATGTTGACACTAAATGTGCAGTCGTTTGCCCGGAAACAAGTTGTGAAAATGCATGAAATGGTAAACTGAATGAAATGACTGCAATTGTATTCGCTGAACAAAGACAACATGAGAGATAGATCCGATTCTTACAATGGCTGGTGGAAAGTCGGGGATTGTGATCAATTACAGGCAATCTCATCGCCCTCGCCTCATATGCGATTTACAAAAGCTGATGGTTGGAAACCGGGCATCACTCACTCACTCACACTGCGAAATATATTTTGCAGCAATATGTTTTGTGATACAAATAATTATCATTTATTATTATTTGCAGATAAACGCTCGCCAAGTGCATCCTGTGGATTACTACCCTGGTATTGTGCCTACATAAAACGACTTCAACAATTCGCCTTCTGGGCAGAGTTTTATAAGAAAATCTGCCATTCCGTGTGTACTGCATCTGGATAACGACAGCAACACCAAATTCAACCGTGAGGAAGACAATGTCTGTTCTTTGTTAACATGCACAAGCATTGTTACTTGTGAATTCGTCTGTCTCTCTGCAGGAAAATGGAACATAAACGATAACATGAGATACACGAGTTCTCACTACTTGAATCTTCAAAAAGGTTATTTCAAACGCCAGTGTCCCCGAACGGTTGTTTCAAAATATGCGCTTGTACTATGCGCTGAAGATCTCTGCTTGTGCTACACGCTGAACATCTAAACTTGTACTATGCGCTGAAGATCTCTGCTTGTGCTGCACGCTGAACATCTATACTTATACTATGCGCTGAAGATCTCTCCTTGTACTATACGCTAAAGACCTATGCTTGTACTGCACGCTGAAGATCTATGCTTGTACCGCACGATGAAGATCTATGTTTGTACTATACGCTGAATATTAGTGCTTGCGCTGCACGCTGAAGATCTGTGCTTGTACGCATGGCTGAAGATCAGTGCTTGTGCTGCACGCTGAAGATCTCTGCTTGTACTGCACGCTGAAGATCTATGCTTGTACTGCACGCTGAAGATATGTGCTTGTACTGCACGCTGAAGATCTCTGTTTGTACTGCACGCTGAAGATCTCTGCTTGTACTGCACGCTGAAGATCTCTGCTTGTACTGCATGATGAAGATCTGTGCTTGTACTATACGCTGAAGATCTGTGCTTGTACTGCACGATGAAGATCTCTGCTTGTACTGCACGATGAAGATCCCTGCTTGTTCTGCACAATGAAGACCTCTGCTTGTACTGCACGATGAGGATCTCTGTTTGTTCTGCACGCTGAAGACCTCTACTTGTACTGCACGATGAAGATTTGTGCTTGTGCTGTACGCTGAACATCTATACTTGTACTATGCGCTGAAGATCTCTCCTTGTACTATACGCCAAAGACCTATGCTTGTACTGTATGCTGAAGATCTATGCTTGTACTCATGGCTGAAGATCTATGCTTGTACTCATGGCTGAAGATCTGTGCTTGTACTCATGGCTGAAGATCTGTGCTTGTACTCATGGCTGAAGATCTGTGCTTGTACTATACGCTGAAGATCTATGCTTGTACTCATGGCTGAAGATCTGTGCTTGTACTCATGGCTGAAGATCTATGTTTGTACTATACGCTGAAGATCTATGTTTGTACTATACGCTGAAGATCTATGCTTGTACTGTACGCTGAAGATCTATGCTTGCACTATACGCTGAAGATCTATGCTTGTACTGTACGCTGAAGATCTATGCTTGTACTGTACGCTGAAGATCTATGCTTGTACTATACGCTGAAGATCTATGCTTGTACTATACGCTGAAGATCTATGCTTTTACTATACGCTGAAGATCTATGCTTGTACTATACGCTGAAGATCTATGCTTGTACTATACGCTGAAGATCTATGCTTGTACTATACGCTGAAGATCTATGCTTGTACTATACGCTGAAGATCTATGCTTGTACTATACGCTGAAGATCTGTGCTTGTACTCATGGCTGAAGATCTGTGCTTGTACTCATGGCTGAAGATCTGTGCTTGTACTCATGGCTGACGATCTGCGTTGGTACATTTGTATGTTTGTACTGTAGGCTGAAGATCTGTACACTTGCCTCAAGATCTGTATTTGCACTGTTGACTATGTATGGGTTTGTGGTCTTTTATGATTGGAGCCACCGGTGGTGGGACAGGGTAAGCTAACCATTTCGCGAACACCTAATATCATCACTATGTTAATAGCAATATGTAAACACATTCTCATGAATTGTGCAATCGATACTGCTTTCATCAGAGCTTTCTGATGGGAAGGCTTTTAACGTATTTCTTTTACAGTTCACAAGATCTTTAGAATTTGTACAGTTGGCTAACTTGTTCAGTAGTTACACAATTGTGATTGTATAGTTAACTCTAGATTTGTGTTTGTACACTTCGTTCTGAATCTACGTTATCTTTGAATCGTTTCTGAAGGTCAATCGATAGTCAGCATAATCCGGATTTCCTGAGTTCGATTCCTTATATACTGATCAACATCCGAGTGGTTTGTATTTGGTTTCAACTTTCCAGGACGTTTTGTTACATTGGGAAATTGATTTTGCAGGTTTATGTTTAGGGATACACATTTCTACATAATGATGTTGTACACGCTGTAGTAATATAAGAGTATCAGTTTCAGATTCATTACAATAGTAATTGTAATGTGAAGTGGGGCAATATTTCACTGACACATTATCTCCACCTGCTAATTATGGAACCCCCTTAAGGAGTCGAAACGGGTAACTAACATGACTGAACCGAACTGAACTTTATTTACACTCCGGCCGCGTTCTGCACCATTGGAGGTACAAGTTTACACGAACAATGAAATGGAACGCATAATATATCGATATATCAACCATCCCCTTTGGTGGGGTTATTCCCGCTCACCCAGCCCTGTGTTAATTAATCCTATCTATTAGGGATTAGGATTAGCTTGGCCAGTCACGGTGTAGGGGTAGTAAGTTACCTTTGAAATTATGTCCATAACGCCTACCTTGAGCATGCTAAAAAGTGAACACAACAAATTAGGCCTATCACTCATGTGTGGCCATGTGTGAATTGTGTTTAAAGGTTTGGGTGTGTGTGAACTGTGTTGTGTAGAGACTTGCAGGAACGTCCACTACATGACTAGGGAATCCGTGTGATGGATCAGTAAAGACATGTCGAGTGGCGGTGGGGTAGCCTTGTGGTTAAAAGCGCCCGCATGTCACGCTTAAGACCCGGATTCGATTTCCCACATGGGTACAATGTGTGAAGCCCATTTGTGGTGCTCCCCGCCGTGATATTCAATTCCCCACATGGGTACAATGTGTGAAGCCCATTTGTGGTGCTCGCCGCCGTGATATTCAATTCCCCACATGGGTACAACGTGTGTAGCCCATTTGTGGTGTTCCCCGCCGTGATATTGCTGGAATAGTGCTAAAAGCGGCGTAAAACCCAATTCATTTACTCACTCAAAGACATGTCGATCTATGAGAGCTGTCGTTTTCACGTATGAAGCTAATAATGCCAATTATAGACTCAAATTTTAATTAGAACCATCGTTCCAAATGTAATGTAATTGACTAACCCTTTCCACACCCAACAGAAATCTCTGCTTAGTGGACAATTAAATACTGGGTTATCTGAAGAACGCTTTTATTACTATTTATCCTGTCTCCACGAGTTGTACGATTGCTGTTGGCTGAAGAGTCATTATAATAGTTTCTATAACAAACGGGAGTATGATATTATACACGATTATGATTTATTTATTAATATTGCTGATGGCATCATATTTCCCTGATTTCCTTACATTATGGAAACATAATTTGTTGTAAGGATTATTCCACCACATGTAAGGTTCCATATATCTAAAGGTGAACATAGTCTGCTGTAGACCCTCCAGTACAGGTTGCTGTTGCATACGTTGAGGGGACACGGTTCCAGAGCTTTTCTTCATGGACGTTTATCTCTGGTTTTACGTGTCGGGCTACAGTAACGGATTGTATCGTTATGGTAGACATATGTCATACCTAGCTTGCGCGAAATGTTGCCAGAGTGTGACATGAATTTGTGTCTTTGTTGATGAAATAAACTCGGCCGTGCACACTAGGCAGCGTGTCACAATGTTGATCATGTATGTTGTGTTGTTATTCAGTGCAACGGTTTTATGGAGGTGGTGGTGGTGGAATTGGGTTTAACGTCGTGCTTGAGAATATTTCGCTCATATGACGACGTGCATGCGTGTGAATGTGTATGTGCGGCTGCTTGTACTAGCCCAGACTGAAGCTGGTTTTATAGTGCTAGCCCACTGAAAATACCATGCCGCAGTGAAGCATGAATACCACACTCAGACACATTATACTGACTCCGAGCCGACCAGTTCTTGTTGTACCCATTAATGCCGAGCGCCAGGCAGGGACCAACAAGTACCATATTTTAACGTCTTTTGGTATGACACGGTCGGGGATCGAACCCGCGACCTTCCGCTCTCCGGGCGGACGCTCTAACCACTACACCACGGAGGCGTTCTGTTATGGAGGAGAAAATTCAGAATTGATATGAGACATGAGCACTGACTATAGCAATGAAGACACTGATGGTAATATTTCCCTCTCAGTAACAGTAATATACTTTGGAGCTATTCCAGGCAGGGATAATGATTATCACACATAATCCTGATCTTTATGTAACTTGAGATGTAATATGAGATGAGAGGCAAGAGTTAACACACCTCATACCCAAGAAAAAGATGCCAGAAAGGTCCACACTAAGGCAGATGGTTCTGGAATAAAATCCTTGCAGCACTTTCCAGATCTTTCTACACTGTTCACAGAGGCGCAGGGTATATGATCATCACACATAATGCCTCTTCGTGTAACTTGAGATGTAAAATGAGATGAGAGGCAAGAGTTAACTCGCCTCATACCCAAGAAAAAGATGCCAGAAAGGTCCACACTAAGGAAGATGGTTCTGGAATAAAATCCTTGCAGCACTTTCCAGATCTTTCTACACTGTTCACAGAGGCGCAGGGTATATGATCATCACACATAATGCCTCTTCGTGTAACTTGAGATGTAAAATGAGATGAGAGGCAAGAGTTAACTCGCCTCATACCCAAGAAAAAGATGCCAGAAAGGTCCACACTAAGGAAGATGGTTCTGGAATAAAATCCTTGCAGCACTTTCCAGATCTTTCTACACTGTTCACAGAGGCGCAGGGTATATGATCATCACACAAAATGCCTCTTCGTGTAACTTGAGATGTAATATGAGATGAGAGGCAAGAGTTAACTCGCCTCATACCCAAGAAAAAGATGCCAGAAAGGTCCACACTAAGGAAGATGGTTCTGGAATTAAATCCTTGCAGCACTTTCCAGATCTTTCCACACTGTTCACAGAGGCGCAGGGTATATGATCATCACACATAATGCCTCTTCGTGTAACTTGAGATGTAATATGAGATGAGAGGCAAGAGTTAACTCGCCTCATACCCAAGAAAAAGATGCCAGAAAGGTCCACACTAAGGAAGATGGTTCTGGAATTAAATCCTTGCAGCACTTTCCAGATCTTTCTACACAATGCTGCTCTTCTTGTGACTTTAGAGATTGTGAGATTAGAGGCAATAGTTAACTACCCTTATATATACAAAATATAAGTTGCTGGAAGATTCCAAAACACCCCTCACTGACTCTACTGGTGCAATTTATCACAGGTAACACATTATTGACCAACGTATTACATGCACGTCATAACAACATGCCCACCCACAGTACCCCACAGATATCGATTTCGTTGGACTCAAGCTCACAGAATCTTTCAAGATAGAAATCTTGGCAAAAATCTAAAACATGCGTGTAATAAACTTCTTTTCTGAAAATGTTTGGTTTTAAAAATATTGACAATACGAACTGGTTTAGATTTTATACATGTTTAGTTTGAGATTATGTCAGACAAACAATCCATTACGGTTCGTGCTCAGCATACAAACACATTTTACAGAAGCTAATATCGGATATGATACTTCTAGATGCAGGCACTTGAAAACGTAAACCCAACAAATATATAATCACAGTCCGGGTGTTATATTTCGCTCGTTTGGTGTTGAAATCCTACATCAGCATAGGACGCATATTTGAACCAAAGAACACCAGGTAGATACGAAGGTTTATCAACACCAACCCCACTGACACTTTTCTGAAATCTTGTGTCATGTCACAACTCGATTACCGCCATGTGCTATTTTTTACACCTCTGCCCTCTCGAAACATCTGATAGACAACCTCCAGCGATTTACGAAGTCCACTACTGCCAGACGTGTCACAATACGGAATCGCATAATTCCCCCGTTAGAAGATCTTCAGTGGCTAAAAGCTGCTGCAAAATTACCACGAAATCATTGTACTAGTCTTACGTAGCTCATATCTACCTTCCAGAACTCATTGCAGAATACCAGCGAAGAAGTCAACAATCTTTCTTCGTACCTGTTCCGCAGACAACTGCTCTTGCAGACTGCTGTTTCGGAATAGCAGCTACATAACTGTGAAACAAGGCACCTCTCTGTCTACGAATCATTCCAGAACTGGCCAATTCTCAATCCCCGAAGACTGACACAAGAAGACTTCATGAGAGCACTCCAGGAAAGTACTTTTGAACAGTTGAATTCAGCATTCCACAATTATAGGGTTCGTGACATACTATATATTCAAGCCGTTTTAGGCTCATCAGCAGCTCAGGGGCCCTTGTCCCATTTACATGCCTCCCCAAAAGCATTTGGGACATTGCCCAAGAAGTGCTGCCTACTGCGTTTTCTCTGCAGACAGTGAAGACTCCCCAACACTGCAACCTTGTGGTGACGCAGAAGGGATGTGTCTCTGGCAGCAAATCCGGATGTTCACACATTGTACGTCAACAGATTTAGAGGTACAACACCCAGGAACCAATAACAATGGTGAGTCGGACAACTTGGTACTCGCGAAGCTACCATTGCATCTTGTAATCGCGGTCCGTATATTTGCTGTGCTCTTTATGAATATTTTCAGTCACATTAGTGTCAAAAGGGGCAGAGAATTCAGTGATATCAATGATTTCATTGAATTTACCACCAGGTCATATTTGACGGCCTAGGTGCTTCTCAAGCTGTTTTCGGACCAACTCTAGAGCACCGTATAATTATCATTTTCCATGACGCCTTCTGCATATTCTAGATCGTATCACAACTTGGACCTCTGACTGAAAACAGCAAGAAGGGCAAAGACGATAGTCAAAGGATCAACCAACGCCACCATGCCTCTTGGAATAGTAAAGCAACAGTAGGCATCTACTGAAAAGTGTGTGTGTGAGAGAGAGAGAGAGAGAGAGAGAGAGAGAGAGAGAGAGAGAGAGAGAGAGAGAGAGAGAGAGAGAGAGAGAGAGAGAGAGAGAGAGAGAGAGAGAGAGAGAGAGAGAGAGAGAGAGAGAGAGAGAACACCACAAATGGGCTTCACACATTGTACCCATGTGGCTTGGGCGTGATGAGTACCCATGGGCTTTGGCGTGATGAGTCTACTGAAAAGGTGTTGCATCGTCTCATTCGATTAAGCATAATCTACATTTCATATTTACATTATGTTTCAAAATCACTCATTGACGGTTTCAAGAGGGAAGTTACTGGTCACGTTAGCAGACATCCTCTAAGAGACAAAACATGTATGCTTTCTCTTCTCAAAGTAATGCACATAAAATGTACAGTAGTCCTTCAGGGATACTTCCCATGAAAAACCCAGTCTGTGTCGATGTTTCACCCAATCAACAATCCCAAAAGAATATGAAAGCACAGGGACAGGGTAAATATTTGTTGTTTGGACTTATTGTGAGCGTTCAGCTTGAACTCAACATATGTCTACATTTGTATTGTATGAGCATACTGGAATCGTCTCTGACCTGATGCCTAAGTCTGTATGGTCTTGTTCTTCTACGAGATAGTCAATAACTTCTTCCACGATTGAATTGATACCCTTTCTTAAACAGTTATCATCGTATCCCAATTACGTAGATTGATGCCCTTGGTGTCAATCACTGGATTGTCTGGTCCTGAATCTGGCTTATTTACAGACTGCAGTAAAGTAAAACAACAAAAAAACAATCTTATACCTTGCCACATTTCAAATGAAGAGTACTGCACGTGTTTGGCCGACAGGACATCCAGAATATTTAGAGAAGAAGGCTTCCAACCAGACCATGTTCGTTTTGATAAATGCAATGACTATGTATATGTTTGCTTATGAACATGGCTATGCTACCTCTGTGATTCATGAGAAATGATTGAATGGATACTTTGATCAGCCTTGGTATGGTTGTTACACCGCGATCGCAT